TTCCACATTCATATGGTGAGGACCGTCTCTCCAAAAGACAAATACATTTTGTCCTGCAGAAAAGTGGTATTCATGTGATTCCCTCTGGAGAGATGATTGAATTAGTTGACTCATAAGAAATAATTGAATTCACGAGTGTGATCCAGTGTCACCTGGCAATATTGATAAAAACATTTTTATGAGAATTCAAATTTAGGGTGGAGCGGTGGCACGCGCTGTGCTAACATAAACCTGATGACCTGGTGGGTTTGTCTCAGAGCCATGGCTCACTTTAGTGATGAGTGATGTTTCAAAAGTACTGGGCCTCCTTCCCAACTTGCACTAAACAGCATGGTGAAGTATGGTCAAACATCTCCTCTGACTGATGCGGAATGGGGACGTATTTATGCAGCAGTGGATTGACAAGGGGATTTAATTATTATTTTCATTATTTCGTGATAAAATGAGTGTAAAGATATTTAGCCACATTTTATTAATATTATATTTGATCACTTCTGAAAGAAAAATCCACATTCCATATATTGTAATAATTGGTTATCTTGGCTCCTTTCTAGGAATTGTTTTTGTTAAAGGCACTTGAGAAGCACCAAGCTTGCAACATCTACAAACATTTGTGTATAATTAACTGCGTATGGAAATCCACTTAACGCAGCCCATCTGACTCCTTAATGCTGTTCATTATTGCGTGTTTGCTCCTCTCGAGAGCACAAATGAAACCGCCCCATCGTTGTGTCCATTGCATCTGCTCGCCCAGCGAGCATTATCAATTAAAACAAATGCTCCCTCCTCCCATATACTGCAGCCAATCCTGAATTAAAGTAAAAAAATCGTGAAAAACAGCCACTGCAAATACTACAGCCATCCCAGCAGCAGCACAATCATCCCACCAAGTTCCCATGACTCCCCAGGTCTCAACGAGCTTTTGTGAACAGCCCGGGTCAAGTGATGCGTGGGGGATGGGGGGAGAGAGTGGTGCTGGCACTTCTCAAAGATCCCATCTCTATTCCATTACGCATCGTTCAGAACAACGTGGGCGTTAAGAGGACGGAGTGGGGGCCCAACGCAGAGCGGCTGCCCTGGTGATGATAGCGGAATGCGTGGCCACAATAACCCAACCAGCAAACACCACAAAAGCCACACAGAGCCCATGAGAGTCTTTGCAGAACGTTGGATAAATACAGGGAGGGTTGCTTAAAAAAGAAAGTTGGGAAATAAATCATACTGCATTCATGAATTTATTCTAAATAAGGTTGGTGAAAATATATGCACGCTCGCACGTAACGAAGCATTTGGTCAAGGTTCGAAAGGAGAGTTCACCACTTTCCCCTCTTAAGGCCCTTCTACACGGTCACTGTCAAGCAATGATCCATTCCTCCTGACAATGATTCATTGGGGCCTGCACAGCCTTGTCATTGTGTGGTCCAGTTGAGTTGCAGGCAGGTCACACACGGCCCCGCACGTGGGTTATTCCACTCAAACATCAATCAGGACATTGCTTAAGTTGAATTTGCGTTTCCCACGTGAGAGCCAAATTTGGATACAATTTTCACCCCATTTCAACACCAACCCATCCATCACCAAAACTGATTACGTAAAAAAATACTTGAATAGGCAAACAATGTTGATGATGCATATTTTTTTTAGTTCTGATAAACAGTAGTGTGGTATTAAAATATAATGTAATATCTTATGCTTAGTTCAATGTCAAGCTATTGTGTAACAACAATCATTGAGATTTCTTTATCGATTCACCATTGGATCAAGTCCTCTCCTTGCCATATCAGTCATAAGGGTTGTTTGACCATACTTCACCACGATGGTCAGTACAGTTTGGTGAAGGAGTGGGTGGGGGCTGGGGAGTGTAGCGGTTAGCGCACTGGACTACGAACCCAGCGATTCGTGTTTGATTCCCACTCACGGCCAACACCAGTGACGATTATCTGAACCGGTCCCAGGCCTCTCCTGGGTCGACTCAGCCTCATATGAGTAGCTGGTGCGGTGTGTAAACATCACCACTAGGGGGACAAAGGCGGCCGGGCATGGTGCTGGCCACCCACCCCCTCGTGTGCCATATCGGCCTTCATAGATGCTCGCTAACAGCACTTGCTCCTACAGTCTGTTAAGGCGAAACGAGATCTTGGTCTTAGGGGCTAGGGAGGGTGTTCTCCCAGGATTGGCTCAGATCTCACTCGCCACTGATGTTAGCAATGCCTGGGAATCACACCCAGGACGCCAGGTTAAATAATGCAATGTGCTTACCACTGCACAACCGCTCAACCCCATTCTATGCCGTATGGTTTACTAACTGGCAAGTGGCAAGACTATTGCAATATACTATAAGCTCACGATAAATAGCACTTCTTCAAAGTACTCGTCAGAGTACTCTAAAGTACAAAGTTGGAGTACTGTCGTCGCAAGGACTCGACCATTACCATCTGCCATGGACAAGACACGGCACGTCACGATGTATGTTGAACTTCTTTCGCGCCGTACGTAGCCAACCGTGCTGACCGGATGGGTGGCCAGTGGTCGAGGCTAATGACTGAACGACAGCCAAAGGGAAGGGAACACACCCGAGTGGATGACCACTGCGGCGATGGAGTGATGAAATCAGCTCGTGTGCAGGAGCCAGATGGATTGTTGCATCATGGGACCGTGAGAGATGGCGGCTTTGAGGAGGCATTCATCCAGCAGTGGAAAAATGGTTGACGATGAAGAAGGCAGTGTTATTAAGAATGGTTTATTTGTGCTTGTACACCACCACCAACGCAGTCGGTTTTTCTATGATTAGTCTCGAGGCAATTGGCTCCAAATCGCAAGCTGGACAACGACATACACAAAACTTTAAAACGCAATCAAGCTTTTCTCTGTATACATTCTAAACAAGCAGGAAGAAATTAAAAATTCCCCGTGCCCAAAAAACGAAGGTTGGAGCGGTGCTCATATCCACTTGCCAGCCCAGATTCACTGGTGAAACATTCCACATTCCTCTGGTGGGAAGCCACTCGAACCCGTATGTTAATCATTAATGTCTTAAGCATCTGGCTGCCAACATTGGTTGGCATGCACTAATAAGTCGGCGACTGCTACCGAAGTGTGCAGCAGGTATGTGAGCAATGCGTGGAGCATGGTTTTATTCCGAACGGTTTCCACGAGTTGCCTCCACGGGTGACTCACAAAGCGGCAACATTCCTCTGTAGGAAGTCCTTATAAGGAGCCGCGCGGAGCTTGCCAGAGGAATGCCATCATTTTTGGACAGCGCCCCCGTGTGCAATCCGCTCTCGCGACGCCGACGTACAACTGCCAACGGAAAGTTATTGTAAGGCTGTCAATGCAGGCCCGCATGGAACGTCTGAACATTTTTTTTCCACCCGCATTGATTGCAGTCGTGAGGCATGGTGGCATTATATGAATTCGTTCAATTCGTATGCTTGTCTGTTGTGTTTTTTTTTAAAGGGTAACGTGTGCACCGCAGACGTGAGCGTCGCGCGCGTTACGATCATGGATTTTTCCACCGACGGACATTCTTGATATTGCGATTGAAGTCTACCTGCTCACGTGAGCCTTGGGTGGCGCTGTATCTCCGTTGGTGGTCCCGAGACAGTCGTGGCAATTCTACGTTGCTATGGCGTGGACCAGGTGTTTCCCGAGGACGTGTGTCGATGCAAGAGGCATATGCGGTCATTTGTGCATGGTAATGACGACGAAGTGGCTGTGCGTTACATGCCGACTTTAAAATAACATTCAAGAGAATGCATTTGGCGTGGGCGTTATCAGTGCTATGATGATGCTGATGTTGTAGGAGTAACATGTGGAATATTTTTTCCAGGCACTCTGCTATCGGCCGACTCAGCCTTAAATGACCACTTGGAACGCAGTGCAAAGATTCATACCCAGGAAATAAAGGCGACCAGTTGTGCCGTTATCACGCCTACATTAATAGGTGCTCCCTGACCGCACATTTGTGAAATAGCCAAAGGTGGCCGTCATTTATAGAATGCCACCACGCCGTGGGAATGTGGAATTGCCGGCACTGGCTCAACACCACCGACGAAGATTCGCGTCAGGGATGCCCCGAGACTTTCTTGTGGGGAAAACACTTTTTTAACTAAACGGAGAAAATCTGCTTATCGACAAAATAAAATGTGCACACACGAACACACAAATGCCAAAATCCTCCGTATTGACATCCAGGTGGGGCAAGTTATATTAGCGAGCACCTATTAACGGCCTTAATACGTACTCATATCGTCCCCTTTGTCTCCCCAGTGCTGACCTTCACTCACCACACCATGTAAGCACATTACTCACATGAACCTGTATCCAAGATAGGTGTTTCTATTCCCACTAATCACTGTTGACATTGTCTCGCTTGCAACACAAGAGTTTGTATGGACACACGCACAAAATCATATTCCAGGTTGTTGGGGAAATGGCTGTTCGCGAGTTCTTCTTAAGACCGGCCGCCTTTGTTTCCCCAATGCTGATGCTTCCATACCGCACCAGGTATACGCGTTCAATGCTGAGTCGACCTATGGGAAACCATGAAACGCTTCAGATAACCACCACTGCTGTTAGCCGTGGCCAGGAATCAAGCTCAAGTCACCGGTTTCGTAGCACGATGCGCTAGCCGCTACGGCCACCGCTCCTCGCACGGCCACATGCACACACGCAAAGCACACATACACGCGCGTGCGTGCAGGCAGACAGGCAGTCAAAGTTGATTTTTCCGTCTGGCCGGAGGCTCACGGCTTTTGGGCGGCGCATTGAGTCATTTCCCTCCTCACCCTCGCGGCACGGAGGAATGGCGCGTGTCTGGGAGTCGGGTGTTGGGTGCTCTGAGCCAGGGAGATCGGTGCGAAAGTAGCATTCACAGCCCGAGCCAAGGAATGCGAACTCCCACTCCCCTACCCCCTCGTTCACCCCCTCATCCCCCGTGGAGAGCGGGGGTGGGGGTGGGAGGAATGAGAGGGGTGGGTAGGGAGCTCAAGTGTATAAATGCAGAGAGGGAACCCTCCGTCCAGCAATCGGTCTTTCCTACCCAGTCGAAGAAGCAAGAAAGAAGTGGTTGAGATTTCTAAGCTCTCTCTATATATACCTACATCAGCAAAGTTTTTGCTGAGTGTATGAAAAGACAGCAACCTTAGCCTTCGTTTGTGCTCGAGATCGTCATGGCAAGAATCCTCGTCCTCTGCGTGGTCCTTATTGCCAGCCTCTATCAGGTAAGCAGCCTTCTGTCTGACAGCGGTTATGGGATCTGCTGAGTTTATTTTTTGGTTACGTTTTTGTCCGGGTGGTAATAAGAGTGCACATCTTTTAAGCGTCAAGGTAGCGTCTTGGCAATTGTTGGTTGGAAACAAACATGAGACTTACTACGACGGACGTCTGCGAGATTGCAATGCGCCTTTGTCCAGGTGTTGCGTTGTTTGTTTTTGGATAGTTTACACACACACACGTGCGCCCTGTAGATTACGTGCGCGATTTGTAATGGAAAAAAAAAACAAAAGTCCGGTTAAGTTGTGAGTTTAAAGAATGCCGTGTAGGGTGCCCTGCGCTCAAGCGATGCTCATCTCTGCTTTGCAAGGTTCCCATTGAGTAAATGTCGATTCCACGTTACTATGGCAGATAGGCGGGGAGACCAGTATATCCATGGGACAGCCACTTAATTTTTGAAACGCGGTGACGAAATTGCATTGTGTGGATTTTTTGTGTGCAAATTCTAACTTTGTGTGTTTTCTCTCTGTGTGTGTCTGTGCACCTGCACGAACGCGCGTGTGTGCGCGCGCGCGTGTGTTACGTGTGCATTCGACCGTGCGTGCATTCACCACAACAACACACGCACACAGGCTGCGTGCCAGCAGTGCTCCAATGTCTGCCGCTGCCCGAAGGGGCCGCCCGTGTGTCCCGTGGGCGTGAGCCTGGTGGCCGACGGCTGCGGCTGCTGCAAGGTCTGCGCCAAGCAGCTGGGAGACGTCTGCACGGAGGCGGACTCGTGCGACCCGCACCGCGGCCTCTACTGCGCCTTCAGCACCGACCTGCAGATCAGGATCGGCGTCTGCTCTGGTGAGAGGCGCGAACAGCGCACCTGGAGCGCTCAGACACACGCACGCGCGCGCGCACACACCGTGGGACACGCGGCATCTACCGCCTGGAGCACACGCATGGCTCACGCACGCATGGGTCACACTCTCTTATCTGGATGACCCAAAAGCTGAAGCGCACACTTTTTACACAAAGACAAGATTCACGGGTTTGATGGAGTAAGTGCTGTTGATGAGCACTTACGCAGGCCGAGACGGTGGGTGGCCAACACCACGCCCGGCCGTCTTTGTCTCCCTAGTGGCGATGTTTACGTATCGTACCAGTCACTCATTCGAGTCGGAGTCGACCTAATCGTCACTGGTGTTGACCCGTGAGCAACAATGGAACTCGGGACGCCGGGTTTGTAGCGTAGTGCGCTAACCGCTACACGCACAGACTCACGGAACACATCATCTGGATTACACACCTGGAACAAACACACCTGTCTCACTCACACCTGGCTCACTCATACTTGGCTCATACACACCCGGGGCGATTCATTGGTTGGTGCGCAAACACATGGGGGCGCGTGTACATAGCACGCACAATAAACGTTGCACACCTCTTAACGCCTTATCTGGGCACAGACTCACTCACACCTTGCGCAACGAGAAGTGGCTATGGGCTCCACCTGCAGGGCGAGTGTGCGCGTTGTAGCTTCGCTGTGTTGCACGGTTAAGGTGGAGGCGTCTTCTCTTTATTATACAGTATATATATAAAACTAAATTAAACTTTTGATTTTAAAAACTAAACGATTTATTTTACCAGGTATAGCCCACTGAGCTATATAGCTCATTTTTTTCCATAAGCGACCTAGCCGCAAACGATAGCTCAAAGGAGTGGCTTTATCACGTGCACATTTAGAGCAGCCAAATACTTTTCTTTAATGATTCTAAATGTGGAAGCGGGAAAATTTCCCGGTGGACCTGGAGACAAAATCCAGCAAGCGGGCTGAGAGACCGAACGCTCTCAAACCAGGCTTGGAGCTACAGGGATTCATCGTGGGGCGTTTCAAGGGATACACCTGGTGTACATTCGTGCGCGTATTTGTCCGGTGCAAATAAATGTACCAGCTGCTTACACTGAGGAGAGAATGTAAACAACACGAGCGCGAATTATGTGCAAGAGGGTAACACTTGTCAGTCAAATGTAAACAAACTTAATATTTACGGGACAAAAACAATCTCCAATGATGTGGTGGAAAACTAACGCATCCTTCGACGAAATGTATATTTAAACGTAATTTAAAGTGGTCAAAAAATGGTTGAAGTGTCAGAATTGTAACTGCGAATGTTGTTGTACTCCATCGCCATCTAGCGATTAGAATGGTGCACTTACATCCCTATCACCGTCGTTGGCTACTAACGCTGTCTTGTGCGGTTATAAATGTTCGCATGATGTGTTGTTAATCACTGTTAAGTACAAATATAACGCTTGGTTGGCTAAATATAGCATTTCCAGCACATCTTTCGAGAGAGCACTTGTTCAGTATTGCACGACATACAAGGGGATGTCTAACAGCGCTTTAGTAAAATTACGCGATAATGTACATCCCTTTCACAATCCACTGCTGGATGAAGGGGTTTTCCCCACCCCACGTCGGTCATCATGGGCGTTGTTTGACCATACTTCACCACTCTGATCAGTGCGTGTCGGTGAAAATAATCTGACGCGGGGGTTTAGAACCGGGTCAGATACCAGACGCCACTGATGTTAGCTGTGGACGGGAATCAAAGCTCAGATCGTCCGCCGGGCTTTAAAACGCGAATGCGCTAACTAACCACCGTGACACACACCCCTTAACCGCTCCACCATCCCCTTTCGTAAAAGATAAAGGTACGGCCCTGTAACTTCGTGCTCACACACAATGTCGGTAGAACAGCTTCTTCCGCGAGAGCAAGAGGTTTTTTTTCCTTTTCCTTTTGGCCTTCTACTCCACGCTGCCCAAACTTCTTGTCACCCACATTTTTACCCCACCACACCGTTGTGGTTGTGCCCCATTTCCACTGCTGGGTTGACAGGGTCATCGTCAGCGGTTGGGAAGGGGGCGGCGTGGGCATGCGGGGTCGGGTGTCGGGGATTTAGGGAGCTTCCCCCGTTCTTGAAACTGCCGCGCCACGATCGAATCGAGCTGCCGAGCTCCGGCATTGCGAGTCCCGCAGTTTGCCGCACTCTGCGTGATTACACCTCGGCCATCAGCCACCCGGCTCCCGTTCATCGCCAGGAAACGACTTACGTAGATAGGTTTAAAAAAATATATATATATTTATAACGAAAAAACTACGACGTTTCGATCGCAACACAAGCGATCGTCATCAGGTGGGGAAAAAAGAGGGGGGGGGGAACCACTAAAGGCAAGCTGTTTTAACAAGACCCCAACAAATATGAATTCCTGCGGTCACGAAAGCTTTAAGTCAAGATTGAACTTAACCCCTTCCCTTTTCCCCTTCCTCTGTCCGTGCAGCTCGCGACGGAGTGCCGTGCGAGCTGGGAGGCACCATGTACCTCAACGGCGAGAGCTTCGAGCCCAGCTGCAAGTACCGCTGCACGTGTGTGGACGGAGCCATCGGCTGCGTGCCGCTGTGCGCGCAGGACGTGCGGCTGCCCAGCGCCGACTGCCCGCACCCGCGGCACGTCAAGCTACCCGGCAAGTGCTGCGAGGAGTGGGTGTGCGACGGACGCAAGGAGCCCAACTCCACGCCACTCGGGGGATTCGCCCTACCCGGTAAATATAAATAACAACAACAACAACAACAACAAAAAACACGTGGGGATTGGGGTGCAGTGGTGGGGGGGGGGGGGGATTTGCACGTGTCACCGATTCACATCTGATGGAACAAAAATTTAAGTGTTCAAAGAATCAGGGATCCTTCTACCAGCAGTGGAGTGATCATGGCTGATGATTAAACTCAACTGACTAATCGTCCCAAATCTACACCCAATTGACCTATAGTTGTATTCATGATATACTCACTCGCCCATGGTATTCAAAATCTGTCAAATTTCATGGGAGGCTCAACCGGGACCCATGGTGAGCTGGCAGTCAGTCCCTCCCTTCACCAGCCCCTCCCACTTCTACATAGCCACGCCCACTCCGTCACTGGCCCCGCACACACAGTGAGAGTGGTGCCCTCCTCGCCCGCTCTGATATTGACCTCGCCTACCGCTCACGACACCCACAATGTTTACTTGACAGCCCCTTTCAAACCCAACGCTGGACACGAACGCGCTATAAAAGAGATTTCTGTTTATATGATTGTGGTTATGGTTGTACTTTATTAATCCCTAATCTCTGACATTAACATACAATGAAACAAGAAAAGGTAAAACATTTAAAACAGAGCAATGTAATACAATAACACTATTAGACATTATTGTAAAAAAATAAAGTCCATCCGATGTGTTAGTAAATTTTTTAAATATTTTAGGCAGGAAATTCTTTTCAAATGTAGATTTTTATCTGAGGGGGGGGGGGAACCCCCAGACCCCCTGGAAGATTTGCCCCCCACCCCCCTCCAAAATGTTAACTCCATGGCTACGGCCTTGATTTGTTGTAAGCCACACTTGACAGCGGCAATGAAAACCAGAACGACGCACTAACGCGCGCATCGCCTTCCTCCCGTCCTCTCCCGGCGCAGCGTACCGCCAAGAGGAGACCTACGGGCCCGACCCGGAATCGGTGCGTGACAACTGCATCGTGCAGACCACCGAGTGGAGCGCCTGCTCGCACACGTGCGGCCTCGGGGTGTCGTCGCGGGTCACCAACGACAACCGCCAGTGCCGCCTCGAGCGACAGACTCGCCTGTGCACGGTGCGACCCTGCGACGTGCCGCTACAGGATGTCATCAAGGTACGCTTGCTTTGGGGCAAAGGGGTCCCGGGTTACGAACGCACGGGGGGGTGGGGGGGAGGGGTCACCCGGAGCATTGTAAATAAAATGGCACGCGACTCGCACTACTCCTCGTCTTGCGTTAGCGGTCGCACGAGAATCGCCGAATGCCATCGCGGGTGTTGCGTTGCTTTGGCGCTCGTGTTGGTGGGTCACCGCACACTGCGTCTGCCACTCGAGATTTCATTATTATCTGAACTGGTTCTGGGCCTCCCCAAGGTCGACTCGGCCTTAAATGAGTACCTGGCACTCGGTGCAAACATCAGCACTGGGGCGGACACGAGGGTCGGGGCAATGGTTCCGGCCAACACAACCCCCTGGGTGTGCCGTGAAACCCTGTCTTCACCGGTAGCTGCCCGCCAACAGCAGTGTGCGGCCACACAGACTCTCGACAGTGCATCAGGGTCGTGTTCAGTACCCGCGACCAACCACGCATTGACCCGCGTCTCTCCCTCGCTCCCTCCCTCCCTCTCCATCTGTCAACCTGTCCGCAGAAGGGCAAGAAGTGCATGCGCACCCCGAAGGCGGCCAAACCCAAGCGGCTCGAGTTCTCCGGCTGCACGAGCGTCAAGACGTTCCGGCCCAAGTACTGCGGCCAGTGCACAGACGGGCGCTGCTGCACCCCGCACCACACGAGCACGGCCTCCGTGGACTTCCGCTGCCCCGGCGGCGAACGCCTGCGCCGGCAGGTCATGGTCATACACACGTGCGCCTGCCACTACAACTGCCCCAGCGCCAACGACGTCTTCGACTCGCCCTACCAGCGGCACATGATCGGAGACATGGCCAAGAAGTGAACGGGGGTTTGCCGGCAGAGACAAGACGGACAAGTGTTACCACCATTCCCCACTGCCTCCCCCCCCCCTCCCTCCCTCCTATTAAGTTCACCGTGGCCCAAGTGCAGCTGGAGTGGCAGCTGGCCAGGGCCCGTGGATGAAACGAGAGCCCTCTACTGGCAGGGCAGACCCTCGAGTATGGCTTTACATTATGTAACTCAGTTTGGATGCGTTGCATGTGCCCGTTTTTGTCAATCCACTGCTAGATGAGGACCTCCGTCACGCCGTTGCAGGCCGTGAGGGATATTTGACCATACTTCACCACGCTGGTCAGTGCGGATTGGTGAAGTTAGGGGATTGGTGGGGGTGCAATATAGCAATTAAGTTTGGTGCACTGCCCTCTACTGCCCACAGCGCCTGGTGCAGTATTGGGCATGGTGGTCAACCACGCCTCCAAGTGCTGTGCAGGCTCTGGCCCGCTTGGCTTCTGAGACGTTAGCTTCTAAGATCTGACGAGTGAAATTGTTAATTAATGTATGTGACTCTACCCTCCGAAAAACCTTGAAATTTGTCTTGGGGGTTGTGTGAAAAATGAACTTGGCTACTTATGAATGTGGTGAATAATTAGATACAGTGGTGCGTACTTAGAAAACTAAATCAATGCACATTGATGGGTTAATACGTAATCTGTAATCATGATTGACGATCTTTAGGCCAGGATTGCCTTTAGTGCATCTGAACGCGTTCCTCTAAGAACATAACTTTACGACTGTAAATATTCCTACTCTTGAGTTTATACTAATTAAACGTACAACGTATAATTATTGAAGCATAATTTTGTGCAAACTCATATAGTTCCTTATTTATAAAGTTCAACCTGTTTTTTATAATGTAAATGTAACATATCTACGTGTTAACAAAGTGTGGTATGGTGACGTTTATGGGTCTGACATTCATTTCAAATTCCGCGATATTTGACAACTTATAAGTTATTGATAATTTGGCACCACGTGTAGCCACTTCATATCTAAACAGTTTTCTCTGATATAATAATATATTTCTCATACCTTTCTTTGGTTATTCGAGTGCAGATAATGCATTTCTAATTGGTTATCTTTTCAGGATTTAGTGACATGTTGTACATATTGTATATAACGTGTACAATGTTTAACTTATGCTGTATATCAACCATGTTGCTATCGTGTTCCATTTCTTTTGTTTACGTGCTTTTTAGTTTCAGTGTATTAATATGCAGCTTATAGGGCATACCTATGTTTGCAATGTTATTGAATGCATTTGCACTTGTGCAATAAAGTTTATTTTTGATACAGTTCGCCGAGTTTTGTGACATTGACCACGTTTCTGTAAAAAAATAAAACCTGACTTGGTTTTAGACCAAATGTTTTCATTAAATGAAAGAAGATGCCCCGATAGCCTAAACAGACTGTTGGGGCAAGCCCTGTGAGCGAGAATATATGATCCTTATGGCGGTACCCTGGGGCAATTAAATATTTTATTTCTGGGACGCTATTTTTTTCAGGGGTGTACTGAACTCCGCGACTGAGGTAACAATCCTAAATCAGTGCTACTGCGCTGAAACCCTGAATGCTCGCGGTACGCACCGCAGTGGTGCATCGTGTACATCTCGTCGAGATGAGTCGATTGCCGCATCGTGGACCATCAACACACTAAAAGTGACCGCATCACGGACATTATGCGAGAGCCGGGGTACTATGGTACCCTGGGTACCGCCATGAGGTTCATATAAAGGCTGGCACGGCACACGAGGGGGTGGATGGCAAAAACCACGCCCGACCGCCTTTATCTCAATAACATCCTCCCAATACTGACGTTTACACACTGCACCAAGTACTCATTTGAGGCAGAGTCGACCTAGGGGAGGCACAGGACAGGTTCATAAATGTTACCGATGTTGGCTGTGAGCAGGAATTGGGTTTGCCGGCTTCATAGCGCAGTGCACTAACTACTATACTACCTCTCCCTTTTACGTCCACACACCCATAGACATGGACAGTCACACACATATACCTACACAGACACGCGCACATCCACAGATACACAACCATAAATCCGCAGGCATGCATATACGCACATATGTCCGCGTGAAAAGACACCCACACCCCCGCACATATCCAGATGAATACACCATGATCCACTGGTCCAAACTCTCATTCAAAGGGACACACAAATGTGTGTGCACACACAAGACAGCCACAGAAACACCTTCACATAGACATTCATGCACACTTGTCCATAAACACACCAGCACCACATCAGGACGCCTTTGTCTTTTCCTCTATGCAAACGGTGCACTGGCAAATAACGTAAGGGTGAGCCGACCAAGGGGAGGTCCAGGAATGATTGCTAGTGGGAAGTGAAATCAGATTTGTAGCACATTGCGTCAATCACTACACCACTCCTCGTACTTACACACCTCCAATTATCACGGTTAGCTACGTACCATGCGAAAGAAATTCAACAAATGAATATACACCCATACAGGCCTCAATGGACGGATGCCCATACTCAAAGCAGAGAATCTACAACATATTGAGTCACTCATTTGATTTATTTTTATTGACAGACCCAGAAGGTTTAGAGACGATGAACATCCGCGAGCTACAAGAACTTCGCCTCCGCTGGGGGACCAAGGGACAGTCAAGGTGTCTCACTTTGGAGGGGGGGTCAGGAAGAGGCAGTGTTATAGCTCGTCAAAAAACCCATCTTAATTGATAGCACTGTAGCATAAAATGCACTACCCTATCCATGCAATTTAACCAGGAGAGAGAGAACCCAGTGAGACGTCCAGAGTGATTTTTTTTTAGCAAGGACGACCTGGGAGGGCGAACAATCTGGGACAAGAGATTTCAATTTCAGGGTCGGCCTGTCTGCAAATAAACTGCTTGTAAACTTCCAACAAAGTGGTACTCATTTTGTCTACTCCAGATGGATGATGTCGACCTGAATTTGAACTGGCATCCTTTAGATTGTGCATCAAATCATTTTAATACAGTGCTACCAAGCGAGTGTATGTATTATTTAGTACTGTAGACGATCCCAATTGAGTGTGACAGGTTTTCAGATTAATCTGACGATTGCCATTCTACCTTCACACACAAAATGAAGGCCACTCAATCACGTGTTCCTATATTATATTCCACTTCCAAGCACATTGCTGACACTTGTCTAAGTCTTTGGAGGAGTGGGTGGTGTTCGGTAAAATGTTTCAATTAAGATCACACTCATTGAAAACTAACTTGTAGACGATCGTTTGAACAGATGACACGATTTCACGGTCAGTATAATGATAAAAAAACAGGATTAATATAATTAGAGATTTCTTTTTTTTTTAATGCCCACGCATTTCAAATTTGCATTGCTGAATATTCTAAAACGTTAATTGTACATTCTTCAATTAAAATAACAATATTACTTATAGCACTAGAGCTCGGTTTCAAAGACGTGCAGGTAAGTCTTGGAGCGGAGGACTTGGTTCTGGTCACGGCTGGGATCTTGGTAGAAGCTGAGGCCGGAGAGAAGCTCAACATCGCGCACACGCGCTGTGTGAGTCCTCACTCGCTCCTCCACCCATGCTTCCTGAGCCACTCCGGTCTGCAGCAAAACCACAGGGACAATACGCAAGGTTACTGATGTTGGCATGCTGCGCTGTCATGATGGCATGGTGAGCACATTGTGCTATGAACCCGGCGACCAGCGGCGTTCGCATAGCTGGCATGGGTCCTGGTGCAAGAAAGGAAATGGAGTGACCCTTTCCCAATTTCCCTCCACTTAACCCTTTCCCATTTAGATGAGGTACGTGCACATCATTGGAATGGAACCTGAAGAAAAAGTTAAATAAAATAACTTTATCGGTACCGAGGCTCCCACAAGGACATATGGGAGGGCGCGTGGCACAGTTTGGGCCCAGCTATCATAGAGTGCAGTCGTGTCGCGACAGTTCTCGGCGTTGAGTACAAAGTCTTTTTAAAAAAACGGCACTATGGCTCTCTAAATATTCTTAACTCTGAACCGCTTGCGCGTTCCGACATTCAGTGGTGAACGGGATCCAACCTGCAACTTGCAGTCATCTCGGAACGGGAAAGGGATAATAGTCTGTCACCTGAGAACCTCCGGCCTGTGGGCTCCAGTGCTGTTGCTACGCCACTGCCGGCGACCTGAAATCAATTCTCAGCCGCAGCAAACATGAGTGGCGAGTGTGGCATTTGAACCTGTCCTGGGCCCCTTCTTCTTCTTCCGACCCGCACCAAGCAGCTTGGCGAGACATGGTCAAACAATGACCGACACGATACTAGAGGTCCTTTACCCAGCACTTGGCGAAGGTCTGGCAGATGCCAAGCGGGTACCTGGCAACTCTCGCTGTTGTCGGGGCGGTGGGGTAGAATGAAGGCGGTGTTGACCACTTGGCCCGTGCAGTTCCCAGCAGGCTGGCCTTTGCAGCTGGTGAGCACCACGAAGTAGTGCGTGGGGATGGGAATATCCGTTCCCTCTACAAACCTGCCACTCGAGCAAGCACAGCGAGCATGGCAATCACGCATAACACTTGGAATGCAGGAATAGGTTTTACCCTTTTAACTGGCACAAAAACTGACACCTTTATTCAAGGCATCATGTTTGCAATGACCACAACACAAGCAGTCAAAATGCAAACAAAAAAGACAACTCTGATAATAATATGCACTGTCCTTGAATTTGATTGGTCCACACCCGAGACAGCTTTTCTTAGAGCCTAGTCTCCATTGGTGTTGGACCAGAAGACGCCAAAAGGCGTACAACTCAAAAACAGCGCACTATCAGAGTATTGCATATACAGGGACTCCTCGAATTACGAACGTTTGACTTAAGAACTTTCAGAGATACGAACAAACCTGTCCATATGTCCAGTTGCCTGTTCGGACCGAGAGTCGTAAGTTCAACCGCTGCGCAATAGATGGCGGTAGTGGCATCTACATCTGCAGGAGATGATTAACTTTTAAAGCCATGTTGTACATGCCGTACAACCTGTTTGTAATCGACAGGAGTAACGTTGGACTTTACGAACAGACCTCTGGAACTTAACTCGTTCATAAGTAGAGGAGTCGCTGTATAACGGAGGCAGTAAAGCATTGCTTAGTTGATCAAATGAATTCACATTTCACTCATCTGTCACCCATGCCCACCGTGTCTCACGTTCTTCTGGCCGTGATCCTCACCGAGAACACGGAGGTGGTCATCGTTCAATCAAATTGTCAAAGTTCGCACGTACACATGCCTTGTCTTCTTGCTTCTGCTCTACGTTTCTCTGTCACTCAAGGGCCCCAAGTCACCCCCGCATTTACTCGAAGGCTGCTGGGTGCCCCACGACCTCTCACTCATCAGCCACCACGCAGACAGGGAGCCTCCCGGCGTTGTTAAAGAACCATAGTGGCGCCCCATCGAATCGTAGAGTCACCAATACGACAGCACACTAATACACACGCACACTGGCAGGGCCTACACCGTGATGGTTTGTGGGGAGGCCTTTATCCAGCGGTGGAGTGAAGGTGCTGTAAATATTTGGCATTTCTCAGAGGGTGCAGGGAGGTCAGTTGAATGTGGGGGATGCTTACTCTGCAATTTCTTCTGGTTTGTCAGCGATGCCGTCGAAGTTGAAGTCAAAGATGGGACCGCTCACAACGTTAAGCCCATCTGACTCCACAGCGTACTTGACCAGCAGGACTTTGTGGAAGAAATTCCATAACTCTGAAAAGAGTGAAATAGCCTTATACTTAAAAATAACCTAAAAACATGTGTATTAGAAATGAACTGCATCAATTGCCATAGTAGATTAACATTGCATGTTAATAATCGTTTCATTTTACAAAAATCCCTTAAACAATATTTACACGTTCAACAGTATGACAAAAGATTACATTAAATCAAGAGACTAACTTAAACCACTAAGCCTTAAATTTGATTGGGTGTTTGCATTCCAATACGTGTAATTGCGATGAATATATAAAACAGTCTGCCTCAGCAGCGGATCATGCTTTGAATACACATGAGATAACCATCCATTTTGTGACGTGACTGATCACTCGGAAACTTACTTTTAAATTCAGCGTACATGGGAGCGATGTTTCCAGTTGTAAAGCCATCCGCAATATCACTCACCACCAAATCTAGAGAGAGAGAGAATTTTTTGCTGACGAATGAAACAACTGAAAGCAATAACGTGGAGTGCGAGGAAGGCTTCTTTTACTTTTGGGGTCTGATACGCGCATCGGCACAAATCAAATATCAGCTTCCGCTCGCGTTTGGTATGCATAAGACAAGGAAGAAAAATCTTGCGTGCACGTGGATTACGTAACGCTTTCCAACGTACGAAGTAGTTTGTTAGCGGCAGTACGTCCCCCGTAGACCATGGTGAGACAATGGGGTTTAGGTAGTGGCTCTGCCCGGGAGGGCGCGATAGCACAATTCGGGAAGAAATAAAATTGAAAAAAAAGCATACAACAAAATCGGCAGCCTACCGCGTGTGTCAGGCCGACAAGCACTAAGAGTCTGCACGTGTACACAGCAAGTTTAGAAGAGGCACTCACTGGGAGGGAAGAGGAAGCCATAGGTGATGTTTGTGGCAATGTACGCAGAGCAGTTAGCGCTAACACCCTCCGCAAGTCGCACGTCTGCACGCACGCTGTCCTCGGTGAAGTCTGGCAGCGGAGAATTGTTAGCCTGGGTGGGCGAAGCAACAACACAACAATGTCATTGCATTGCTTCACCACATCGTCATCAGCCATGAACTATCCACTGCTAAATAAAGGCCTCCACGAGCCGGCTCCATCTCTTCCCTTTCCTGTGACGTAACGGTCCATTGAGCACTTGCAAGTGAGATGCTTGACCACAGGATTGGCTTTATACATTTCAAATGCTAAATTCTTATTTTTTGTTGGAAATATATATAAATGTATGCAATTTCATTTCACCCTAACATTAAAATCGTGGAACGATGTATCGATTAATATTGATCTTGAATCTCACAAAAGATGCATTGGAATGCGTGTAAAGAGGGACGTGTTTTGATTCCTAAACGTCGCACGGAGGGAATACGCTCGAGATTACATCCACAGCAGAGATGGAGCGACAAACTCAGCTCCTGCATAGGAGATAGATTGAATGTTGCATCATAAGACCGTGAGAAATTGTAACGGCTCTGTAGATCAAAATTGCTTTGTATTGTATAAAAGCAAAACAAACGCAAGTGAACCCAAACCATTACTCGCAAGGGCGTGCGTTTGCATTTAGGTGTTACATAGATCCCAACAAACTGTGTTATATTGCATCGCGTAATTGTAGTGTATTATCGTATTTGTGAACAGCAGGTGGGGCTAGTGCGGTAGCCAACTCGCCTTTCTTGTAAGCGCTCCAAAACTTGGTTAACACTCAACTGGGACGTTTCGTTTGGGAGAGCTCACAATAAAGACTCATTGTGGGGGGGGGGGAGGATACCCGAGCCACAAACATGCCGACACAGGATGGCCGGGTCACCCCCTGCCCCCGCGACTCTCCCCCCAACTGCCAGGCGCATTGTTTGAACGTGCTCGTCTATCAATGTGGAGGCTACGCACTGGCTTGCTGACGGTGTAGGAGCTCCAAAGCGGGCTTTTGATGTCGTGGCTGTATGCGGACACGAAGTTCTTGTGGTGCAGGAGGCAGTAGCGTTTGCCGCTCAGCGTGAGTGCAGGTCGTCCCAGGGGTAAATGCTGCTGCTCGAAGAGTTGAACTGCGCAACGCCAAAACACCACGCACAATCGCAGGGCTTTGCATGACAAACAACATCCGTTGGGTAAGCGCCACCACTTAGCAAGTTTGGGGGGCTAACGGACTCTTTGGTGGAGGCGGGGAGGGGGGGACAGAGCTGCGGGACTGGGCGGCAGGATTTAGGCGATGTTAAGTAGGGAGTTCGACGCGTTCATCAATAACACTATGGCTCTAAAAGGAAAAAAGATAATAGGCGACCTTTTCGACAGTGGCTCTTCTTCGTAGCAGAATGTGTTGATTTGTTTTCCTTTGCTAATGCACCGCTGTCAAATGTACAACCACGAACATTTGTTTGTTTCGGTGGAGGAAAATCAGCAGGAGGGGCATTGGTTTTGATTTGCAAAGAATGCCAACTGGAATCCCTAACTAGGATTGCAATGCTTGTGTTTTTATGCAACGGGCTCCTCGGCTACAGCGTCTATCCACCGAGCAAAGCCATAGCCTAAGAAGTCTCTAGTACATTACATTTTTTATTCAACAGTAAAATAGTAAGACTCCCCTGCTGTGTGTCTGTGCATTGCTTTTTCAGTGAAAGAGACGTCTATTGTTTGCCTTCTCGCCTCCAAAAGTCTGTAGATTCCACATAACTATGGCATGAGCGAGTCTATTCGTAGGACCACCATTTTTATTTCATATTATTAGCTCTTTCGGTAAAGTCACGTTGAAGGGAAACAATAAAATATATATAAAACAATAAAAATTCTCACGACGTTTCGACCATAACACAAACGGTCATCATCAGGTGTGAAAACCAATGGCAAGAAACATTTGAAAGAAGTGGCGGTTTCCATTTATTTATTTAAAAATACGTTAGCGCCACGGGCAGCGAATTGGCAGTTTGTTTAGAAGGACGAGTCCATCTATGTTCTGAAAAGAGGAGGGGGGAGACGAAAAATGTATGTATGCTGTCTGAAAGCCACCGTAAGCGTGAACAATTAATTAAAGCCTGAAATGGTTTATCAAATCCTTTCAATGATTGCTAAGCCAGAATCCATCTTCTCGGTTGAAATTATCCTACCGTGTTAAACACGGTAGGACCAACACCTCGGCCGTGGCAGATCATTGTTATAATTCAGTAGGCTCACATGACATTGACTTCTCCAAGACAGAGGTTCTTTGTAAGCCATCTGGCTTCCATGAGAGATTCGTTCATGAGGCTATCCACATATACAAGCACAGAGACAATTTCAACCGAGAAGATGGCTTCTGGCTTAGCAATCATTGGAAGGATTTGATAAACCATTTCAGGTCTTAATTGATTGTTCATGCTTACGGTGGCTTTCAGACAGCATACATTAATTTTTCGTCTCCCCCCTGCTCTTTTCAGAACATAGGTGGACTCGTCCTTCTAAACAAACTGCCAAATCGCTGCCCGTGGTGCTAATGTTTTTTTAAAATAAATAAATACAAACACCGTTTAAAAATAAATGCAAACCGCCACTTCTTCCAAATGTTTCTTGCCGTTGGTTTTCACACTTGATGATGACCGTTTGTGTTATAGTCAAAACGTCGTGAGAATTTGTATTGTTTTATATGTTTTATTATTTTATTGGTTCTCTTCAACGTGACTTTACCGAAAGAGCTAAGAATATGAATTACTGCAGTCACGAAAGCTTTACATCAAAATTTAGGACCACCATTGTTCACTTCCCCACAAAGTGGTACACATTTTATCGACCATGGAGGGATAATGTGTCGAGTCAACCCCCAAACAATATTTGAAATCATAACCTTCCAATTGCGAGCCGCTCTCCCTCTGTGTACAGCGGTACACAACATATTCCTTACCAATTTTTTCATTCAATGCCTTCGGGTTTAATAACACATAGTTTATTAATATTTCCTGTTAAAATTAAGCCAATTCGCTCAAAACCCCTGTGCCACAAACATTTGGAGTGGGGGTGCGAACGTCCATTGCTTGCCTCCCCATTCCGGGCCTGCCAAGCTGGTGGGGAGACAAAGCCCTGATGCCCCACCGAAAAGAACATTGATGCTCTCAGTGCTGTGATAGCCTTGGTGGTCAACATTTAAAATGTTCCCCATGCAAACAAGCTCGGCGGCAATGCTGTAGTATATTTAAAGCTCTGAACTCAGTGGTTGAAATTCTATATTCCCATGGCAAGGGCCAGTATCTCCACAATACTACAACTGTTGCCGTCATGCAAAGCGGAACTTCGGCTGATTCAACACTTTTGATTTGGCCAGTGGTTCTCAACACTTTTGAATTGGCGACTGTACCCCTTGTTGAATTTTGTTTCAACCAACGTGGTTTTGAGATAAAAAATGTTTTATGCATAATGATCATGAATATTTTAACCAATTTTGTGAGGTACCCTAACTGGTTTGTAACTGCAAGCAAATAAAAAAAAATCAACGGAGGCTCTGCATGCATGACGTCATTAGTTTGCGCTCGCTGGTTACTCTTGGAAACCACATTGTTTATGATCCATGAGTTTATAATAGTATTTAAAATCGTTCTAAGGTTACCATATGGGTTTCAATTTATCGTAGTTATTTAATATTCCCAAATTCACACAAGATTATTCACCAATGACTCTCATGTATGATATAATTTCACGCATTTATAAATCACCTCACGAACCCCCTGGGGGTACGTTGCCACGTACCCCCAGGGGTCCGCGTACCCCCGGTCGAGGACCACTGCAATAGTCCTTAAGGTGAATGCTCTGAAACTTGGGAAACAAAAAACTGCGCTGAACGTTGGGACTTTTTGTGAATTAAAAAGTGCGGACATGTTAAACATGTTCTCTAAACAGGGGCAGCAGTCCATTTACCATCAGCGATGGACAGATTTAACCGTTGGTTCACGTCAACTTCTTCACCCTGTAAGAGAAACAGTGGGGTTGAACGTATACCGAGGCCTCACACACACACACAACACAACACAAAACACAAACGGGCCATTAACACAGCAGCTACGTACTTGTCATGTCCCCTGCAGTTACCCAGTCACGTTAACCATTTCTGGAGAAGCAAAAACTGCAGCCAGCCGGCCAAATCATCATGATCCCGGCCAACACGTGACTACACCTCCTTGCCCAGGCCTTAAGCAGGCTCCAGGGTTGTGGGGCCAGCACTCCGGGTTCTTCAGCTCAAATGTGGAAGGACTATCTGCGGCTAAACGTGACGCCATTCATGCATAAGCCACTTCGCACAATATTGCTGCCATCTGTTTCAGGAGAATTTATGTTTTTCTTGCATATCTGGCACTCTGTATGGCAGTCACGTGTAAAAGTGTTTGATAAATATAAAATAAAAGCAAAGCTTGCGTTGGCACGTGGCTGCCGTGAATGATTTTGTAAATTACCAAGCTGGGGTAAATGCGAGTCTAGAAAATGATCCCTGTATGTCGGTGTCTGTTTTATGACAAGTCAATGCTTTACTTGCAATGTAATTGAAAACTATAGTACATAATAGAGCTTTCAAAGGAATTTAATCGAATTAGTTGATTACGTTCTTCGCATTGTTGAGCCGATCCCCCACATATCTACTTGCTGTACCGTTTGTGGGAAGACAGTATAGCGAGTAGACATGCAGAATATCTGGGTGTACTTTTGTCTATTATTCCCAAATGTAGATGAGTGTTATTTGGGCAAAAACTGCTCAATACGAGATTGATTAACCATTAAAGTGAAACCCTCACGAAAACAGTTTGTGGCTCACCTGTGCAAATATTGTAATGAGCCAGGCTATGTGCTGAGAGATTGTTGGAGGTCAATGGAGCCCACAATGTTTCTGATGTCACCTTTTAGAATGTCAACAATTTTTGTCATATGGAAAGGCAAGCCATTGCCACAGGAAGGTGGAACTTTCACCACTGGCTCTGGATCACCAATGGATGGGATCAATACTCTCCTGCTCGTTAGAGTTTCAAAAAAATATAATATTTCGCGGTGGCCAGGAGGCTCAGAGAGAGTTCTCAGCCAGCACCACTGGCATCCTGAGTTTGAGTCAGGCAGCTGCCTGTAAATGACACCAGGTCTTTAAGTTTGATTAATTGATGGTCTTAGCCTGGTCACCTATGAATGCACAAATAAGCATCATATTAAATCTGTTTTGAGTGTCACGCGACAAGATAATTATCGGTAGCAAGGGAGGTGGGAAAGTTCTACCTAGAATGCGTGGACCAGAGTTCACTCTCAGAAGTAGCTCTGTGATATCCGCTTACATGGACCATTCTTTAACACGAACGGGTGTACTGCTCTGCGAGAGATCGGTTGCTTTGTCTCATTACCTAATGCTGATAATAGCATCGGAATATAGCTGGGGGAAAACTATATTGAAGTTTTAAATGATATAAACTGTGCTGATTTATCTAATCATGCTGTTAATTTTTCCACAAAGCAATAGCTCAAATGCATACGTACCAGAGTGCTGTCCCATGTGCACCCAAGGCCGTTCGTGGAAGTGAGGGAGGTCAGAGGGCAGGACAAGGGATCTGACTGCTCGGCAGGGAACGACGGGGTGAAGAATGGACTTCTTAGCAGGTGGTTGAGGCTGCCGTGTGTGCCGTTGTTTTTCGATGGTGTGATTTCTAGAATATCTGCAAAAACACGAGCAATGCGTTGAGTCCATTATATAACAATCACAAAAATATGCAAGCCAAAGACATCGCATTGACTGGTAAGAAAATTAAGTGGGCTTAGGCAGGGCACATCGCGAGTAGGGATGATGGCGAGTGGCTGAGATTAACGGCAAAGTGGCAGACAAAGGAGGGAATGTCCACGATAGGATGTCCACCACGGAGATGGAGTGATGAAGTCAGCCAGACTGCATGGTGCATGTTGTGACCTTGTGGAATGATGGCAATTTACAGAGGTTTTTATGCAGCAGTGGATAGATCATGGCTGATGATTATAATACTAAGTAAAAATTGTGTACCATGACTGCATTCTAATATCGATTGTAATTAATGAATAAGATGCTTGTGTCCGATGAAGGGCGTGCTGCAATTATATAACAGTGCAGGGGTCGGCAACCGAAATAACAAGAGCAGCAATCTTTTTCGAATTCAGTAAAAAAAACTCAATATAGTCGTTAGGGGCCGTCCATAAATGACGTCACGCACCTGGGGGGGGGGGGGTCAGACATTTGTGACGATGTGTGACGAGGGGAGGGGAGGGGGTTTGAGAAATGTGACGTCACATCAAAATGCGCAACTTTAAATAAATATAGGCAACACGTTCTACTTAATTAAATAGACTTTTTGATAAATGTTTTCTCCTACAACATCAGAGTGCAGCGCCACATTAAATACGCACTACAATGTGACAATAGTTTAAAGCGATTTGGAGCATGTTTTATATTTTTTTCGGGGGGGGGGGGGGGGGGCAGAGCGTTGTGACGTCATATTTGAGGGGGGGGGGGGTCTGACTTTTTGTGACGCCATGTGACGAAGGGGGGGGGGGGTCAAAGATCGTCCAAAATCGCGTGACGTCATTTATGGACGGCCCCTTAAATAAATTAACGTCATGAAGCAGTCCTTACAGAGCCACATGTGGCTCCGGAGCCGCATGCTTCTGACCCCTGTAACAGTTTATTACATTTGTTATAATGATCCATAATAATGGGGGGGGGGGGGAGAGGGGAGGTTTCGGTTAGATCGCATAAATATAACTGTGTCGTTAAACCCACCACCACCTGACACAGCCAATTAGTAAGGTTTGTCACGAAAACAAAACATGCCCATTAGTTACTATTTCAGCACACCGATGTGTTGGTAGAATAATCTCAGAACATTTATGTTTTGCTGGCGATTACGACTACTTACGCGATTAACCCCCCAAAAAAAACTTCATTACGGGTAATATTGGTCGCGAAAGCATATGTGTTAAACAGATTATTGCTCTGCTTACCGCACATCAGATTATACAGCTCGATATTTTCAAAAGCCTCAACTTCTGTTTGGTTCTTAAACTTAGGTCCATATCCTATAAATATTGCCTGAAAAAAAAGAGAATGTGTATTTCTTAACTCATAATCATTGCATTTCCAAATACAGTATACATAAATGGATAAATATTAAGGTCACAATGTTGTATTCGACAGAAATTTGGGCTCAGAGGAAATTATATGAGAAGGTCTTAAATGTAGAAAATCCATTGATTGGAGAGAAAAAGTCACGAGGAAGTTAAGATCATATTCAGAAGGAAAGAAGTCTAATGAGAAAAATCCAAAAGAGGTGTGGATTGGGCATCAGAGGTGAGACATTGATGAAGGATGTTCTCGAAGGAAAGATGTTGGGAAAGAGGCCAAGAAAGATGCTGCTTGGCGACTTGGAGGGAAGGGGTACCAACACAGTGAAATAAAAAATTACGCTCATTATAAGACAGGATGGAGAGAATCTGAGCCAAAGTCCTGCCATTGGGCAGAGCACTAAAGAGAAGAAGGCAATGTTAATGCAACGAACAGTACAGCATGGCTTTACAGTAATAATAAACAAAACAAAACATAAAAAATGACGTACCTGCATACTTATAAACTCATTGTCAAAGCCATGATTCCCACCATTACATCTTCCAGTTGCCGAATATTGCCTGAACAAATCACAAATCCAAGAAACAGGCACCAACACAGTTTATTTATTAGTGTGATCACGTTCGTATGGTAGGGGTGGAGCGGTGATGCAGTGGTTAGCCCGCTGCACGATGAACCCGGCCACCTGAGTCCGATTCCCAGCCACGGTTATCATTAGTGGCGAGTGATATCCGAACTGGTCCTGGGCAATGGCGGAGCCAGAAGTTTCAGGTAGGGGGGGCAACCCCTCCAGCAATGAAAAATGATAGAGGAGTTGTTAGTAAGTAAGGACTTGTCCCTTGCTTTTTATTCGACGCGTGTGCGGCGATGGCACAGCCATCGATCGAGGGCCGAATTCGAACTGCGTTGTGTGATCGGCATCGCGCTCGCTGAAGGTGTTGATGCCTTCAGGGAAGTCGTGTACTGTGTACGCAACTGCGCACAATTCTGTGAGTCACTTATAACTGCTTTGCCGTTACTCATTGCCAATTATGGACTCAGACTATTGTCCTATCATCTCATTGAGTCCCTGGCACATAATAATATGCTACACAGTGGCAGTGGGGTTCACAAAATGCTGATTTATTACCAATAATCCGATCGAAATTAGGGATTTCGATCAGATCATTGGGGGGGGCACGTGCCACCTCCCCCCCCCCCCCCCCCCCCACCTACTAGCTCTGCCAGTGGTCCTGGGTAACCTCCACCTTCACCAATCCGTACTGACCAGCATGGTGAAGTTTGATCAAACAACCGTCATGACTGACATGATGTGCGCAGTCCTTCATCTGTGTTGGGGGTATCCGGACACCCACGACGCCCACAGTGGCTATGTCGCTGTTGTCAACAGTGGAGAGACAACCAGCTTAAACATGTTTGTTATTTAGGGGCGCTACGGTGGCGAGATGTTAAGTCCCTCGCCTGGTATGCGGGAGGTCGTGAATTTTATTCTGACCCTGATGCTTATATATATTTGGAGTTTGCATGTTCTCCCCGTGGTCGTGTGGATTTTCCTCTGGGTCCTCCGGTTTTTAAATTATTTGGCTGCTATAAATCTCCACGTGACAAGACACTTGGTTGAGCTATCGTTTGTGGCCAGGTCAATTTTGAAAAAGAGCTACATAGCTCAGTGAGCCTTACCTGATCAAATAAAAAAACATAGTTTTTAATAGTTTTATTTTTGTTACATACATGCCTCACCTGGCAACCTGCCACTGCCGTTCCATAAACAAATGAATGGTCTCGATGCGGTGGCTGTCACCATAGTGCAATCGCTTGGGAAGATGCCACTTCAGGTAGGGTTTAAAGTGCTGTCCTTCTTTCTTGCACTGAAATGTGAGAAACGCAATAAACATTGATTTGTTTAAAAATAAAGAATTGGCCCACTACATGCAGAAATAATGTACAGGTAAAGTAGCAGCCCTGGAATTGCTTGCTCATTCAACTGCTGGTGGAAGGGTTTTCCAGATGTTTTCGACAGAAGTGGGGAGATTAAAGTTAGGTGTTCACTGTTTCCACTGTCCACCGGCAGTTTCGTCCAGCTACCTCTGGTTTTCCTGTGTAAATTGAATACATGAAAGGACTATTACTGCATTAGTAGGTGGCAATCTAAAACAATGTTCAGTAAAAGTATCCACAAGTATAAGCTGTATATGCAGTCCTCCGGAGCGGTTCTGCAGTGGATAATGCTCTGTGCTTACTATGAACCCGAGCACCTGAGCTTGATTACTGGCGATGGCGAATATCAATGGCGAGTGATATCTCAACTGGGTATTCCTTTCACCGATCCACGCCAACTAGCATGTTGAAGCCCTGTATAGTGAAATAACCCCCATGAACGAAATGGTGTAGGGGAGGCCTCCATTCAGCAGTGGAGCGACAGAGTGGCTGTTGATTACATTGGGTAACAATTATTGTTTTTGTCCCTGGGTAGTAAGTGTTATTTTCTAATTGCTTATGCCTGAAAAGTACAGAAAATGGATATTATTCCCCACAAACTTTGCTTTTGTGACCAGGACAGTGATATTTTGAAATGTACCTATTTTCAATGAGAAAACGTGTGCATTTGTGTCATTCCTTCACACTAAGTCCTGGTCACAAAATCAAAGTATGAGGGGAATAATAGGCATTTTCTATACTTTTTACACATAAGCAATTAAAAAATAACACTTAGTACCCAGGGACAAAAATCGTGTTACATAGTGTTATTATTCTAACAATACATTTATTATTTTATTCTTAAGAAATGCCACTTTCTAATACAGTACCGTGCTGCAGTATATATCGATGGGTGTTATTTTCCAGAAGGGACCGACATGTTTTTAGAACTTCAATATTTTCATGCTTGTAAATTAATGTATGCAACTTACCGTCAAGTTTCTCACGATGCCCTCATTGTCCACTGCAATGGAAACACCAAGTGACAAAGTCATGATCTATCACATAACCTTGACCACAACAGTATGCATTCTTCTAGAAAAAACACATTTCAGGAACAGGAGTCCAATGATCGTGTGCATATACTTAACGGTAGATAAGAGAGAACTTTGAACTTTAAGCACGGACATCAGTGATATAATGTATCACTTAATGGCTTTACAACAACACGTCCTTCCCCCCCCCCCCCCCATAGGCTGGCCTTGAATTCAAACGAGGCCATGGTGGAGTGGTCTGTGCAAAGATTCAGATAATAAAATGAATTTTCCCGACCACTTCCTCCTATCCACACAATGGCTCAGACAATGGGAAAACCATTGGGAAATATCCGAGACACTAACCTTGTAGTCGTAAAAAAAATATTCTTCTCATTACACACAAAGTGCTTGCCACAAATGAACCCAAACCATCGCACCAACTCCGTGAATCCTCGCATGGTTGACAACAAACGAACACACTTACGTTTGTGGTAGTCTTGTGGGATATTTCTTGCACGGATGCGACCATAGGGGCCTTCATAAACATAGATGTTGTTGAGAGACATGTATTCATTTAAAAGCTCCACACGGTCACAGCTTATCTTATCCATCCCTGCCATCACACACATACATACATACACACATGCAATCATTAATAAATGTGCATATGAACAGTCACATGATTTAAAGAGTACTCCAATAAGTTTTTTTTGGGTTGTGTTACGTGTTGTTCGGCACGATGCCCAAACGTTTCGCTCCACAAGCTGCGAACTTCTTCCAACAAAGATGTTCACAGCATATGGAGTGAAACGTCGGACATCGTGCTAAACAACACGCATTAAAACCTGAATATAATATTGGAGGGCTACACAGCAAAACCGTGAGAACCTATTCGGTTAAAGAGTGACAGATTAGGATCACACATCTAGCATGCGATTCAATTCATATTTACACTTTAAAATATTGCAGGGTAGAGTGGTGGGTACAGTGGTTAGCACACCATGCCGTGAACTGGATGATCTTGCTTCCCTGCCACGCTTAACATCGGTGGTGAGTGACAAATCTGAATCACACCTGGCACTCTCCTTCACTAACCTACACTGAGCAGTGTGGTGACATTTGGCCAAACAACCCTGGTGATGCGGTATGGGGAGGCCTTCATCCAGCAGTAGACAGGCAAAGGGTCATAATTTTTTTATTTATTTTATTTATAAAATTATACGAGAGATGCTGAAGAATGCAAATAGCAGAAGCTACATACACTGGGTATCAACCCTCAATTATCATTTATAGAATGAAATACAGACTTGGCCCCGCGTTATAATGGTGCTCATTTCTGCTTGCGATACCGTGCCGGTGATGTTTATTCCACAACCTGGTAGTAATTTTATTGACACCAGGCGGATGATGGGTTGAATTGATCCCCCCCCCCCAAACTCCCTAATTGTGATTCGTGTGTTTGGCAGAAATAATTAAAGTGTGTTTCATTTCACCGTGATCTGCCACGATCATGATGTTGACACATTGGTGCAAGGCTCTCTGCTTGAGGCCATCCATCAGCATCCCAATGATGCGGTCCACATCCTGCAGTGCCTCGATCACCTGCAGGGGAGGAAAACGTATTGAATCACAGCCGCTATAAGCAGGAGTATCCAGCGCTGTCGTCGCACGTAGACAACCGTGCTAATCGGAAGTGAGCTGTGGACAACAATTTAAACAAAAAAAATCAGTTCTAAAGAAATTGGTTGTCAATCTCGATTATTTAAAAGTACAGCGCCAGTGGCTTCCTAATATCGGAAGGAAGAGCATTCCAGACGGCCGCAGAAGCACATCCGAAAGTGAGCGATGAGGTGACCGCAGTTCATGGGGTACGTAGAAATGGATATGGCTCATGGAAACTTAGCAAGAGAGAACTAAAGAAGAGAATACTCCGTGCTGGATTATGTCCACGGGCACTATCGTGGCCCCTGCGTTAGGGCTGGACAGAACCCACGCATAAACTCACTAAAATTAGTTGAAAAATGTAAAAAAAACCCTGACAATTTAACCAGCAAACTCATTAATTCGACACAAATAATTAATAAAAAAAATTCAATATAAGGCCGTTTGATATGAAAGCATCTGGTATGCTGCACTCACCTGACCACTCACGGGGCCGAAATTGTGACCTTGTCCATCAGGCTGATCTAGATAAAGAGTGTAAAAATCTGGCCTGTACAGAAAGACACAATTTAATAATAATAATCATCCATTGTTAGATGAAGGCCTCCTTGCACAGTCACTAACCATCCATCTTGCAATGCAACAATCCATTTAGATTGAGGTATCTTTGTAACACTGACCTTAGTGGTGAAAAGCGACATAGCAACGTGGCTAGAGAAGACAGTCTTTAATCAGTGTATGTTACCTGCTATGAACGGTGACAAATACGATGGAGCAAAAGCTGCAAAGTGCACAAAGAAGCGTGCAGAGGTGCATGTCGGGAATAACGCAGACAGACAGGAAGGGGGGAAATTTATCTTTGAAATTACGGGATGTTAAATTGAGTTTAAGTCTCTGCACATAAATGAAATCTCGTGACAAAGAGAACGTTATATTTTACGAACTTTTGGACGGTTCCATAAAACATGTTAAAAGTTTCACATTTTTGTAGTGTTCAATTAGCCATTTTTTTTTCTCCAAGGCTAAGGGTCTCAAATTAGGAATTTACAAAGATAACTCTGGGTCTTCATGAATGAAGAAAAGAGATTTGGAATTTTTTTGCTGAATGTTATATATTTAGCATTCATCACAATTAAAACTAAGGTGTTTACCTCTGGTCTTCTGGCAGGTCCAACCATTTGAAAACGACTTTAATTCGATTTTCATACGGATCATTTCTGTAGAAAGAAAGGGTTTAGAAAGTAGCCTTTATAGTTTATATTAACAGGAGATTAAACAAACCCATTGGGAGTCGTGAAACAGCACTGCCTCTTTTTCAAGGGCAACCTGGGTTACATCAATAAACATTTCAGAGCACAATATATAAAAAAGCATTCACAGTTTAGAAATGTAAATTTGATGAGAAATCATTGCAGCACCATGTGAATTAGTCTCAGGAAAAAGGTAAATTACACCTACATTCAGGATAGGAAAAATACGAGATTTGGCAAGTAGAGGTGAAGGACAACACTGCACAAAATATGATGAAATGTAAACAAACTGGCTTGGGCAGGCCTGAAACATTCAATCAAATAGTCATTCAAAACATTTACGAAAGTTTACGTAGAGCCGATTCATAGATTTTTAATCCAACGCAGCTATGGTCGGGATTAAATTTAGATGCATTTGGAAGCCCAACCGATTCCAGAAATTACGACATTAACTGACACAATTAGGGCATTAACTGACACAATTAGGGCATTAACTGACACAATTAGGGCATTAACTGACTCAATTGCCACACCAAGCCTGGTTATAAGAAGATACTCAGATTACATCTTATATTGAATTCAGTTTACTTTTCATTTAGATTACAACATTTTTGTCTTTTTCCACCTTGCCCCCCTTATTCTGAACACGAATCAATGAGACTTCCCAAACAAAGCCTTGCAATTGCTGGCTACTCACGTGTTGTACTTTGCCCAGTAGTCGGGGTAAGTGTTGTTAATTGCAACGTCAGAACCAGGCCAAAAATAGGTCCCACTCTTCAACCCTTGGTAAGTTACCGTGTTCCATATCTGAAAAGTAACAAGTGCATTTCAAATAAATAAATTAATTACTTTATGAACTCATTCATTGATTGGTTGTAGTGAAAGTAAGTGGACATCGCAGGACATGTCACCAGAATGGATTGCTGGTCAACGTTTAAGAATAGTGCGATCAGCTCGGGCGCAGCAGCTGCTGGGTGGATTGTTCCATCACTGGGTCGTGGGAGATGATGGTGGCATACGCGTGTACGTACGCGTGTACGTACGCGTGTATTTTGAACCTCTTTCGCACCATACGTAGCCATTTTGGAGATGCGTTTTCAATTTAGGCATGGGAAGCCTTCATCTAACAGTGGATAAATCATGGATTGGCATCATCATCAGTCCTGATGATGATGCTGAATGGTTGAAGAAGTAACAGCCTTTAATCACATACGCTCCCCTCCCTATATGCGCTCATATTTCAATGTGGAACGATGCATAATTTTACGATAGTAACATTCTACACTATCAACGCACAAATTAGAAGAAAAAAAAGCACGTGCAAGAATCAATTACTTTCGTATATATTTTGCGTAAATGCCTATTACCATGATGACCATAATCTGGTCAGAGCTCAGAAGCTAAGTCGGGTTAACCCTGGACAGAGCTCGGACAGGCAGCCACCCTGCACGCCAGGTTATTGTAGGCTGCTGGAACGCTACACGGTGGTCAGCAGAGAGCAGTACAGCAACATTCTGTGCTTTTAAACTAAAATCTATTTTTTTATTTTACCAGGTAAGCCCCACCGAGCTACATAGCTCTTTTTTCAGAAGCGATCTGGCTAAAAGTGACAGCTCAACGAAGTGGCTTGTCATGTGGAAACGTATAGCAGCCAAATACTCTAAAAGGCATGTTTCTAAATGTTGAGGGGAAAAACCGGGAGGACCCGGAGAAAAATCCACGCGACCACAGGGAGAACACGCAAACTCCAAATATACAGGTGTCAAGGGATTATATCGAATCCAAGACCTTCTGTATACCAGGCGAGATAGTTAACATCTTGCCACAGTGGCATCCTTTATGTGCTGCCACATCTATGCTCCCAGCCTTCACCAACCCACACTGGGACCCGCAGTGACATTTCAGTAAATAATCTCACACGTCGTCGAGAGGACCTCATCCAGCAGTGGATTTTAAAAAAAACGGCCGCACGTGTAAAAGGTTCCCGTACACTACACAGTCACCGGAGGCTGCTGCATCAACCACAATGGCATAATAAAAGGAGTCAATTCTGCAATCGAATTGCAACCCTGAATTATGACGGGTCATCGAAACTCGAGGGGGGCGAATCCTTCCGCTTCTCCCTGGAACTTCCCAATCGTGGGTTGAGATTTCATGGCCACAGCGGCCCAGGCGGTTGTACCACTTGCGCGCGTGTGTGTGTACATTTACACGCGTGTGTGTGTGTGTGTACGTTTGCACGCGTGTGTGTTGTGTGTGCTGCTGTGTGTGCGCCATGTATGGGTTTCCTACCGGTTGGCCTCCCCACCATTTCGAAGTGGCAGATTCTTCATTGCCAAGGGAAAAGTTGGCATTGAATATCACGTCATATATGTTGTTATCCACAATCCCATGAGACTCGGGATACATGCCCTGATGTCAGGTTACAAAAACAAAACAATCACAGAAAATTACATTGCTGCAGGGTTATCGACCTAGCAGTAATGCGGCTCAATGGCACAACTGTGCATTGTTGCATACATAATATGCACCCTAATTGCAATTCTTAATTTAAGTTGTCCAATCATCGGCCGCGTTGCGATATTGAAGGATTACCTCCCAGCGCAAAGGGGGCCTTCTCAAGCAGTGTGCGCATGGCGAGCTGTAAAAATGTTCCACGGAAAACACGAACCTTATTCACACATCGATAAATGTCAGACTCCTTGTTTTTAAATCAACGGCGGTCATCTCAAATCAAAATACATTCCCTTTTGTTAGCCAAGTGATAACTGCGCTGAGATCTACAATAGCTCATACAAGGCGAAATGCGGGTTACTTAAACTCTCGATGGGAGTTTTCTACTATTTAATATAATTTGAAGTGCTGTATTTGAAGTTTACATTTTGGTGTTAATTGGGTATGCCCATGTAGGAATACAGCATACATTGAAATGGTAGGTGAAATACATGTAACACTCCACCGTCTTTAAGAACTTCCATGCACTGGGCCATGACCACCTCTGTCCCACTCATTGCACTCTAGCCTCCACCACACACTTTCCACTCCATCAACCAAGGCTGTTTAAGACGCCTAGTCAACCTTTTCGAAGTGGGAGATCACTCATTATGCCCTCTGCTCCCGCCATAATCTTGCTATCCATATCCCTACCCAATTTAAGATTAACTGAGGACGAAAAAAAAAGGCTGGTTTTCCCTTTTTGTGCCAAAACCGTTCCACATCTCTGATGTATAATTTACGGATGTTACACAAGGCACAAGGTTAGCAGTGCGGAGCACGGATGGAAAACTGCTGTCCAATCGCTTTATAGAAGGCAACGTCAAGACGTTGGGTAGACTGACGCTGCTCTGCTCACCACACGAATCATTCCAGTCACTCTCTCGCCATCATTCAGTCACTTCCTTGTCACTCTTTTGTCACTGCAACCACCGCCACTGTTCACGTAAACGTCACATCTTAACCACTTCACCAACGTCAAGGAATCAGATTCATATCCTTTATGTCCATGCAGCCACCATTTGGCAGGTCAGAAGATTTATCGTCATCCTACTCTCCTCGAACTCCCCGACTTTGGAATTCCCTCCCATCATTTATTTACACAAGTTCCTATCAACCCTGTACAATTCCACAAAAGGTGTTAATGATTACTTCCTATGGCTTGCTCCTGGTTGCTGGCAATTTTGTATGACACGCCTTTAAGCCTATGCTAAATAACCACGATTTATTTACACAAACTTGAGTCGACCATCATTCCACAATGCCAATTAGCTAGATACTTTCCTTCCACTGCAGCACATGGTGTCAATAATGTTATCATCATGCATCATTAAATAATTATAGATGTGCGTCAAGTTATGAAGGCCTTCACAAGCCAATACAAAATATATATAAAACAGAAATCACCTCAGTGCTACAGGTGTGAGGTTGGCTTCAAAATAAGGTTCCTCACAACTTCCACAAATATAATGGAAGCTTTCAGGATCGCCCAAGTCAAGTCCTGTCACCCATAGCACAGGGGCGACTTGTGTTTAACAGATCTCGCATTCGCTTGTTATGCTCTGCGTAACTTAAATGTACAGCTAATACGTATAGTCACTCTTTCTGGAGAGCTCTGCCTTTCCTTCACGGGATTCTTGGTGTGTGTAAGTTGAGTACATAAGTCTAATCCACAAGAACGGACTCCTCTGTGTAATGACCACGAAATAAACGGCAAACCTTCCCGATGGAGTCGCGTGGCATTGCGATCACACAACACAGCGGAAGCAACGAATGCTTCCCAAGAAGCCCCATGACGATGTGCTGGGGTTCTGTTCGCTGAAAGCTTTGCACAGGTATTTTGGCAGTTGCAAACTTAAAGATTTACCTCTCACCTGTAGCACTGAGGGTCATTTGTGATGAATATTTAAAGTAAACATCAGCTTGAAATGCAAGGTTTAAATGTTGGCAACTAGTTACTTGTATAGTTAAGGTTTTGCTTTTATCATAAAGCTTGAAGTGATCTTCAACAGGACATGACAGAAGGATTCCGAGACATCGGGAAACAACTGGGACCCTTCTCTCTCAACTCTCAATGCGACGTCGTGGTTCCAATGCCACAGTTGACAAACGGAGGTCGAGACGGATGGGACTCGTACCAATAGCGTGTGATCGCGTGTGTAGTTTCTAATCGACGAAGCGAAAAATGCTGCGAAATTATCATTTACCAGGTAAGGCCGATAATTAACAACGATGACATATTTACAGACACCCCGCGTATGCAAAAATTATTTTTAAAAAACACTTGAAATAAGGTTTACACTCTAATCTAGGGCCATTAGGTTCAGATGATTTTATTTGCTCAGCTGTAAAGCTTCATAAAACATCTGCATGTGCGTCACTTGTACTTTAAGGAGGGGTGTTTTACTGTGTAACTTACCGATAAAGTACACAAATAAGCAATATTTACGTTGTAAATTCCATTGTGAAGAGGGCATGAGCAGGAATATTGTCCCAGCACTGACCGTGGTGATGGTGTAGTGGTTGGGGAAGGTCTTGGTCGGGTACATTGCCCTCATGTATGGGGCATGTGTGCCACAGGACCCTGTTCGAATAAACAGGTCAGACAGCAGGTTCGATATTCATGATGCACACTCTACAGCCGAATGCGGTGACACACGTTGGTAACCTGGTGACTCAGGAGTCAGGGGTTGGTGGATTGTGCTTTGATGATGAACAAGACAGGTATGGCCCCAGAGACACGTTGGGAGGTGCATGAAGGAGGGAGTAGACAAAGTACATTACTAACCTACGTGTCCATAATAAAGTTTTTGTTTTGGTTAGTTCGCGTAAGCATAAATGCGTCATTAAACCCGCCACCACCGGACACAGCCAATTAGTGTCTCCCTGCTTACGTTAATGTGTGGCAGTGTTCATCTCTGTTGGTGACTCTGAGCCAGTGATTAAAATTATACTTTCCTATGACAGGGGCCAGTCTACACATAGGACAACCGCTTTGTTGGAACTCATTCAACCGACCCTCACCACGATGATGGCCCCGGTCAATCCTCAACATGGATTTGCGAGTCGAGAGCTTTAGCCCCAGTACCACCGGCTGTATGGCGTCGTTTGCTCTTAATAAAATGTTTCGAGGGTGAGGCAATTATAAAGTGAGAGTAACTCACTGAGCTTCTGCAGGTTGGGCACAAGGGCGGACCAAGTCTGGAGGTACTCGGCACGGAAACCATCCAGGGAGAACAAAATGAGAGGCTGCCTCTTGAACCTGCGACATCAAACATGGCACACAGCTTAAGATAACTCTCTTAATCTACCGACAGCAGTGAACAATGTGTTATTGGGTTGTACCACGTGTTTTTCAGCATGCTGTCTGATGTTTTGATCCACGTACAGGATGCTTCTTTAGGAGCAAAATTCCGTTTAATTGTGTAGAAAAAATAGAACTAAATTCGGTCCCTGAGGAAGTTCCAGGATCATGGAGCGAATTAACAGATATGGTGGCAAAGAACACAAGGTACGACCTGAAAGCACATAGGAGAGCTGTGCAGCACAACTGTCACAACATATTCTTTCGTAACTATCGCTATCACACAAGTCTTGTTTTGCAGAGCATGCTGTACATTGCGAGGGCTGTTAAGCGGCAGATCAAACACGGTGATAGCCCGGGGAAGGGTAACTTCACCTCTCCGACCGTGAACTTAAATAACTCTTCTCTTCTAAATTTGAGTGTGTATGAAGCTTTACTGCATGACACCTAATAAAAAGTGTTAACATTTAACATTATTGACTTAAAGCTTTCGTGACTGCAGGAATTCATATTCTTTGGGTCTTTAGGTAAAGTCACAGAGACAGAACAATAAAAGAATAAAAATAAAGTGAATTAAAAATATATCATGAAGTTTCGATCGCAACACAAGCAATCGTCATCAGGTGAAAAAAGAGGGGGAAGAGCTGCTAAGGCTGTCTGTTTTAAAAGTTTGAAATGGGTGTAGCGGGGCTAGTGATGTTAAAGTGAGAGAGATTAGCATGTCAATGTAAGAGATTAGCATGCCAATGTAAACGACGGTTTTGTTAGTATGAACCTGTTATTATAAAATCAGAGAGTCAAAAATAACTGCATCGGAAGGTTGTATGGAAACATCACAGCCAGTTATGACTTAAACTGGTTAATAACGTCCTTCCAATGATTGCTCAGTCTGTACCCATCTTCTCGGTTGAAATTGTGTCTCTGTCTATATATCTGGATGGCCTCATGAACGAATCTTTGTTGATAGCCAGTGGGTTTGCAGAGTACCTTCGTCTTGGAGAAATCAATTTCCTGTGAGCCCACCGCATTAAAACAATGATCAGCCACGGCTGAGGTATTGGGGTACCGTGTTTCAGTATTATTGACAGGTTCACACGAACAAAGCCGCCATTTACATTGACATGCTAATCTCTTACATTGACATGCTAATCTCTCTCACATTAACATCTCTAGCCCTGCCCACTGCGTTTTATGACCCTTGGGCTACACCCATTTCAAACCTTTAAAACAGACAGCCTCAGCAGCTCTTCCCCCTATTTTTTTACCTGATGACGATTGCTTGTGTTGCGATCGAAACGTGATATTTTTATTATTTTTATTCACTTCATTCTTATTTTTATTATTTTATTTTTCTATATGCGTAACTTTACCAAAAGACCCAAAGAATATTTAACATTATTGATACTAAAACATTTTCAGGTCCAATGGGCATATTCCACGATTATTTTGTACAATGAAGGCGTATAGCATACCTTTTCTCGTATAAACATAAAGTGAACAAATAAATACTCGCTGTCGAACGCAATGTTTTAGATATTTCCCCCTCTTTATAGTACACAGGTGTTGTATCTTCCATCGTGTTACCTTTTCTATTAACATTCCCTACCCGACCTCTCTCTTTCCTCCATTCTTCCTTCTGTCTCTCTCTCCTTCTTCTCTGTCACTTCTTAGAAGACAGCTGGGGACTGCTACGTGTAACTTTGTTACATGTCGGAAATGTGTAAACAGTTTTTGTGTTTCTGTATGTTGTTGAAATATTAACATTTATTTGATATAAAATAAAATAACAACAATGCAGGCAATCATTCTGAAACTTTCCAATGCAAGTATTTAAATTATGCATCCTCACCCCGCGGGACATTTTGGAGTGCCAAGATCTTCACAGGGTTCTGCCAACCACGTTTTGGCACCTGTCCATTATTGGGAGAACGCGGGAACAAAAACCACAAATTACCTAAGAGCTCACATATTAAATATATACATACATCGTCGTATGAATATGTCCACAGTTGAAATGTGTACAGAAAGTGTGGAATTTAAATTACAATAAAAACAAATATAACAAAAGTGAGGGGGATTGCGTCAGGAAACAAGAAAGACTTTGTCCTGAGCCTACAAGAGCTGCGAGCTATGCAATCTAAGAAGTGCTGCAACGGTTAATCAAGTAAACTGATTAATCAACGATAAAGAATCGATGCTGGAGCGGCATAATGGTTGCACGCTTGGCTTGCAACCCGGAGGTCGCCTGTTTAATCTCCTGACGCGGGCCATTTGAAACAACGCTTGAACGTTTCTTATATCCTCCCGACTCTGTCCACCCAGCAGTATAAATGGTTACACCATAGTTAGCGTATTGCGAGGTTACGTGTTGGTGGGTAATCCCATCTCTTCCAAATTGTCTAACCAGCGTAGTAGAGTAGGCCAAAACACCTTCTAGAGGGGCTCTCTAGAGGTGGAGGCCCTTCTGCCAACAGCCATCCTGGCCCCAAAGACACGGGAAACTCAGTGCAGCTCATACTCATTTTGAGCCTCGTGTGTGGATATAGTTTTTTTTAATGAAAATAGCATGCAAATTGTATGCTCTTTTTACACAAATACTAGATTTGTATTTCAAACAATGTGAATAATCAAATACTCAACGAATTAATAAGTTATTTCCAGCCTACAATGATGTCACTGTACACGAGTTGTCCTCTGTTAGTTTATGTATGTGCTTATGTTGAATTTCTTTCGAACCGTACGTAGCCCACCGTGCTTATCGGAGTTGCGACAGGGAAGGGGGCAATAACAAACTCAGTACAAAAAGCAGTTCTAAATAACTCCCGTGCATTAGTTATTGCCTTGGAAACGTTTTGCGATTCTCACTCCATGTGTGCTTCCACCCAGCCAACGCTGCATTACCTTTACAGGTGGTCATGTAGTTGGTACAGCAGTCTTTCTTTTCCATGCAGTCATCAGAGCAGTGGCAGCTGCTGTTCGCAAGTCGCTTCTCCCCACAGCGAATCCGCGTGCATTCCCAGGATGTCACTGTGACAACGGCGTGTGCCAGTAGCGGCCAGACACGATTATGAGCAGACGCACCGACGTTCAAATACATCAAAAACGAGCAAAGTCCTGCACATTTGTGGATTCTGTAACACTCTCCAATATGTTTGCCCTCAGAAGTATTTAATCGGCGATAATGCCATTACTTTAAGAGCTGTACAACTAGACAAGGTCACACGGTGCATGGCATGTGACGTCGAGCGATGACATCGCACGTCATGACATCACTTAAGGGCAACATCACTTAAGGGCAAAAATGTGGCCATTTTTTTAGCGGGCAAGTCCCAAACAGCAACACAACTTTACATTAACATTTAAATCATCATGGATGATGAGAATCGTCATGACCCCACGTTACAGACAGACAAATGGAAAGTGTTATATATGTGTAAGGACAGTACAGGGCCTAGTGGCCGTAAACAATGATTGCAGCGATGAGGACAGGCAGGGTCAAGTGAGGTAACTGGGTGAGAAGTCAACGTGGGGGGTAGAGCTGGAACCCCCCGGGGCGTTATAGTGAGGCAAAGGAGGGAGTTCAGGGAAAAGGGGCGTGGCAGAGCCGAGGGGAAATAAAAGGCTGCGCGGAGCGGGGCTCGGGGCTGCTGTGGGGGATTCGGGGTCCGGACCGTCGTCGCTGCCATCACGGTGGATCGCCCTCATCGTCTTGGAAGGCTGGGAAGGTAGTTGTATGTCTTCGCCGTGGCTGCTACATCGACGGCACCTACATAGTCGAGTCAGCTAGAAAGAGAACGTCGTGTAGCAGCTAAATAGAGTCACCCAGTTGTGTATAGTCAATCTGCGTCCACCTGCGAACATGTCATCGAGTCGGGTGGACTGTAATATATAATATATATATATAACTTAAGCAAGACAGCATCTCTGAGCGCTGTATTACACATGTATATTAAAAATAGAATACACCGGAAGGCATACGTACAGGGAAGCAGGCATAGGTCGTAGTAGTCTGGGCAGCAGTTGCCTGCGTCTTCGCAGGAGGCGTCGCACACGCAGTCGAGCGACGCTGGCTGGCTTCGCCCATTGCAGCGACCTCGGCAGGACTGTGCAGGCGGCTTTGGGGTGGACTGGGAGGACTCTGCCACTGTCAAGAAGCGTACAACAACGTCAGCCCCAGTGTTGTCAAAGGCTCAACATGCAACGGAGACAAAAACTAATACTTTGCGTATATTTGAGGAAATTTCGGTTGAAAATAAACATGTTAATTTGGTATTCTTGGTTCTCTCGGTAAAGTCACGTAGAAGGGAAACAATTCAATTATAAAAATATAAAACAATAAAATTATCACGAGGTTTCGACTGCAACACAAGCAATCATCATCAGGTGTGAAAACCACAGCAGTAAAATTTGAAAAAAGTGGCGGTTTTTTAACGTTAGCACCACGGATAGCGATTTGACAGTTTGTTCAGATGGACGAGTCCATCTTTGTTCGGAAAAGAGGAGGGGGGAGACGAAAATAATGGATGCGGTCTGAAAGCCACCGTAAGCGTGAACAATCAATTAAGACCCGGAATGGTTTATCAAATTCTTCCAATGATTGCTAAGCCAGAATCCATCTTCTCGGTTGAAATTGTCTCTGTGTTTGTATATGTGGATAGCCTCATGAACGAATTTCTTATGGTAGCCAGATAGCTTGCAAAGAACCTCTGTCTTGGAGAAGTCAATGTCATGTGAGCCTACTGAATTACAATGTAACTACTACCACAGAGGCAACTTAGTTTGTAGACGCCAGAGTACTGTATGTCCGGAATCACATCTTTTACAGACGGGAACAGATCACAGATTTTATGTATCGTTAAAAATAACCGCAACTTTTTTCAATTTTCTTGCTGTGGTTTTCACACCTGATGATGATTGCTTGTGTTGCAGTCGAAACGTCGTGATAATTTTATTGTTTTATATTTTTATTATTTTATTGTTTCCCTTCTACGTAACTTTACCGAAAGAACCAAGAATATGAATCCCTGCAGTCACGAAAGCTTTAAATCAAAATGTTAATTTGGTGTTTATCGACGAGTAGAGTTGTTCACCGATTCACTTCATACTCTTACAAATGTTGAGGCGTAGAACCACGCGAAGACGGAACTTCGTGTAAGGGCTTTCGCCATTTATTAACAAGGTTTAACACTCGGCTCAAACCAAAGGTAGGTGTTCGCTATGCTCGGTCCTTCCCGTGGACCCCTAGGCTCTCCTCGTCCTAACCTCGGCTATCCCTTGGGCTCTCTCACTCGGGTCGGGACGGGGGTTCAGCCAACACCGCCCAACCGAGGAGAGAAGAGCCCCGCTCATGCTCAGCCAGTACTCATGACCTTCTTCGAGCCCTGCCCTCGGCTATCCCTTCGGCTCTCCCACCCGTCGAGCCCGGACGGGGGGTTCAGCCAACACCGTCCGGTCACGAGCGGGAGAGACCTCCTTCAGCCGATCCACACCCCGGGCTCCCACAACGACCTCGCCTTCATCACGGGGTCCCCTTTAAGTATCCCCTAGGGGGGCTCCTCCCTTTTTCTTGGACCTGCCCCCATTCTTGAGGGTGTCTCCTTGCAGTGCTCTTGACATGACGTCATCACACCTTACGGCGCCCATGGCATGACGTCATCACACTACTCCTCTACACAAATGTTTGGTAACTTTACCATCCTCTTCATTGTGAAAACCCTTTACGATTGCACCAGATTGGTTGTTTACTCTCATATAAAGTGCGAATTAGCTACCATGTTGCAAGACAGAATGCTTCGATTTTCATCACAGTGCTCAACTTGTAAACTCCCTCCCATTATCCCTTTTTTTAAAGTTCGCATAACCTCACTCAATTCTAGAAATGTGTTGGTTCAGGCTTTTGGATTGCTCCTGCTAATAGCTACAGCCCCTTTGTTCGTGAATTGCTGCATAAAGGCCATGTTGGGATTATTTACCGTATTTTCCAGCATATAACCCGTGGGGTATACCACTTTTTACAAACAAAACAAGACCCTGCGGGTTATATGGGAGGTGCGGGCTATCTGAAATTTCTTTTACACAAAACGCTATTTTTGCGGGGTATATGCGTCTGCGGGTTATATGCGTATGCTGGCTATATGCAGGAAAATACGGTAATCGTAATTCACCACGCTGGTCAGTGCAGGTTGGTGAAGGGGAGAGGGCCAGGAACCGCTTCAGATATCACTTGCCACTGATGTTAGCCATTAACAGGAATCAATTTATATCTTGGCAGTGGTGCATTTTTTCTTACTCGGTCAGTTATTTTTTTTTATAACACAGAATTTTTTTACGTTATAAATGTTATTATAAAAATGTTACATTATGTTAAAATAAACTATTCAAAATAAGGTACAAATCTAAAACTACTGTGGAAACTAGAAATTAACACATTCTATCCTCTGTTAAGCTTTTTCTACATGCATGATCTATCAGACCTCTCCGAAGTGTTTTCCTGTTTGTACCACGTGTCGTTTGGCGTCAAGGTCCGACGTTTCGCTCCACGTGCTAGAAGCATCGTGCCAAGCAACGCACGGCACACCCTCAAGACACATCAGAGAGCTATAAAGCACAACCACGAAAACCTATGCCGTTGACTGAAAGTGTTTGTGATGGATAACACAATGTCTATATACACCGCATTCATATTTTTTAGACTGAGACAAGTGGGTTTTTAACTGTGTGTTGGGTGCCTTACCTTTCTTTTTATAGTGGTTTAACTGTACTCCAAGACCCAGTCCCAAACTCAAGGTTACCACCACAAGACATGCAGCAAGCACCTAATGGGGACAATCGATCATTTAAGTCTTCATGAAGCAGAATATTAATTCAGCATTGTCATTGCCTTAACCCTACAAACCTTAGCCATAAAAGTATGCATTAAAATACACTATTTAAAATGTGTCAAAATTCAGTTCACTGCTCAGGGAAGACCATCCCTTTGGGGCCAATAGAATTATGACCACTTTGTGAGATGTTTCCAGTGGCATGCTATTGACAGACTGGGGTCCACCACAGTTATGTGGAATTTCCACCACTGGATCATGAATACCAAAGAAGATAAACTCATTTCGATTTAAAGCTTTCGTGACTGCAAGGATTCATCTTCTTTGGTTCTTTCGGTAAAGTCACGTAGAATGAGAATAAAATAATAAATTGATAAAATAACAAAATAAAATTCTCACGACGTTTCGGCCACAACACAAGCGGCCTTCATCAGGTGAAGGGACGAGACTGTCTGGAGGACAGCGCTGTCCTCCAGACAGTCTCGTCCCTTCACCTGACAGTCTCGTCCCTTCACCTGATGAAGGCCGCTTGTGTTGTGGCCGAAACGTCGTGAAAATTTTATTGTGTTATTTTATTTTATCAATTTATTATTTTATTCTCATTCTACGTGACTTTACCGAAACGACCAAAGAATAAGATAAACTCATGTTTGTGTGCCGCATTCAATCATGGGAGCTATGAGCGCATCACAACAAAGCCTCGATGGCCCCTATCATAACCAAGTTGCCACTCGCTACATCATGGTAACACACGCAACAAAGATCTCATGTTAAGAGTTATAATGAAACAGCATCGAGGCTTAAAAAAATAAGAAAAGAGAATAAATGGAATGACATAAGCCAGTAGGAGGCTGGTACAAAATGTACAAAGATGCAGGATTCTTCGATTTTGAGAAAAAAAAAAAACGCAGACCAAGCACGTTACAATCAGTGATCTTGCATTGCTATATGAAAGGAACAACATGTAGAGGTCATCTATGCAAGAGGTGGATTGATGGCATAAATGAGGACTAAACAAGAACAATATAGGTCAACAGGAAAGCGGTCGCCATGACCAGAGAAAGGGAGGAGTGTACACATTCGTCTGGCCTCGTCGTCAGATATCACGTGACGGTTGACGGGAGAGAAAATTAAGAGAAACAACAACTACTCATTGGTTTTTTCGGTAAAGTCACGTATGTAGAAATACAATAAAATTATATTAAAACAAAAAAACAATCACGACGTTTCGATCACAACGCAAGCGATCTTCATCAGGTGTCAAGAACAAATCACGGAGGTAAATACAACAAAAAGATGAGAGACGAGAATTCAACAAACCTGAAAAAACATTATGTGAAGCACATCCAGTCAGGCCAACAACACAGTTAGACACTTCCTGGCGAACCACGAATTTCAGAAGAGTGTTAAATTTCGTGTTTAAACTTTGGATTGCACATACCAGCATAGATAGAATGAAAAATACGAGGTACACGGTCAGTAGAAATACATATACAAGTCCACCAAGAGGTAAGGAGGGAGGAAAGACGGACAGGGAGGCAGAGAGAGGGGGGGGGGGGGGCGGAGGGATGAACATAAGCTTAAATAGGAAATACGGTTGGAGGGGCCAGAGCGAGAGCGGCAGCTCAAACACGCACATCTTACACATACAAAACGGCAGCTCAAAAAAGGACCACCTCTTGTAAATACAAAACGGCAGCTCAAAAAATGACCACCTCTTGTAAATACAAAACGGCAGCTCAAAAAAGGGCACATCTTACACATAATTACAACGGTAACTTCCCCGTAGAAGTGTGATAAGAAAGTATTAAAGCTTTCGTGAGTGCATAAAATTACTCAATCACGACGTTTAGATCACAACGCAAGCGATCTTCATCAGGTGTCAAGAACAAATCATGGACGTAAATACCTCCGTGATTTGTTCTAATATAATTTTTGTTCTAACATAATTTTATTGTATTTCTACATACGTGACTTACCGAAAAAAACAATGAGTAATTTTATGCAGTCACGAAAGCTTTAATACTTTATTATCACACTTCTACGGGGAAGTTACCGTTGTAATTATGTGTAAGATGCGCCCTTTTTTGAGCTGCCGTTTTGTATGTGTAAGATGTGCGTGTTTGAGCTGCCGCTCTTGCTCTGGCCCCTCCAACCGTATTTCCTATTTAAGCTTCTGTTCATCCCTCCGCCCCCCCCCCCCCTCTCTCTGCCTCCCTGTCCGTCTTTCCTCCCTCCTTACCTCTGGTGGACTTGTATATGTATTTCTACTGACCGTGTACCTCGTAATTTTTCATTCTATCTATGCTGGTATGTGCAATCCAAAGTTTGAACACGAAATTTAACACTCTTCTGAGATTCGTGGTTCGCCAGGAAGTGTCTAACTGTGTTGTTGGCCTGACTGGATGTGCTTCACATAATGTTTTTTTTCAGGTTTGTTGAATTCTCGTCTCTCGTCTTTTTGTTGTATTTACCTCCGTGATTTGTTCTTGACACCTGATGAAGATCGCTTGCGTTGTAATCGAAACGTCGTGATTGTTTTTTGTTTTAATATAATTTTATTGTATTTCTACATACGTGACTTTACCGAAAAAAAAAAAACAATGGGTAATTTTATGCAGTCACGAAAGCTTTAATACTTTATTAGAAACAACAACTGTTGAAAATTAGTGTTTTGCACGGGATGGGACATCTTAAAAAACTTTCCAACATATTCTTTGGTTCTTTCAGTAAAGTCACGTAGATAGAAAATACAAATAAATTAAAATAAATAAAAAATAAAACCCGACGACGTTTCTATTGTAACACAAGCGATCTTCATCAGGCGGAGAGATGAAGACTGTTTGTGTTGCGATCGAAACGTCGTGGGTTTTTTTGCATTTATTTGTAATTTACACGTATTCAAATGTTTTTTTATTTTAATTTTCTATCTACGTGACTTTACCGAGAGAACCAATGAATATGAATTCCTGCAGTCACGAAAGTTTTAAGTCAAAACTATTCAACAACAACCGGTCGCGCCACTGTGACTCTCACGATGGTTATTTTCTCTCCCTGGGTGTTTAATTGCCCACGTCAAATCAAAGCGATGGAAGTGTGCGACGAGAGTCAGTGAAGCAGTGAGGATTGTGAGGTGCACACAATGGCACAAAATGGGCATGGTGCGCGTAATATCAAGACAACTTCTCGGAGTGGCAACATTCGCTGTGCCAGAATGGCAAAGTACACGTGTGTACGTGACGGCTTAACTGTAGTTCCAAATGTGAGTTGACAGTGTGTGTGTAAGTTGATCAACGATTAGCCCTCCTACGAATATGTTGTGATTCACTTGCTCTGGAAACCGGTTCATATTAGAATAGTTTTGTTATACAGTACTATTTTAAAGTGGTTTAACACCGTGCATTTGCCAATCCTCTATGTTGATTAAAAGTGTAACATCAACCAACCGGCCAATGTAATTCTAATTATATTGTGATACTGCATTGGCAGTGGTGCACAAGCACAAATAACAAAAATAACCTCAATATCATCGATAACATTGTGGCTAACCGTCACACCACGGCAGCATCCACACATAGATCGGCAAGTGTTTCTTTATAACGTGCTAAGTACTTAACTTGCTCTTTGCACCCTTTGCTAAGAAGTGTGGAGAGGTGGCCTATGGCCAGATCAACCAGAATGCGCTCCAAATAGTCAACAAACTAAACACACAAAGCAGTTCTAAAAAAAATGAATTTTACATCTCGAGATCTCAGAAGCTGAGAAGGTTTCAGCCTGGATAATGATTGGATGTGCGATCACCATTCGCAAACAGATAAATTCACATTCGTCATGAACATTGGCTTAAAATAAAAAAAAAATCGCTGACGTTTTGGGAATTGGCCCTTCATCGTGGATAAATCAAACTATTAGAAACTTTTTTTTCCAGGAAAGGCCCACTGAGCTATATAGCTCTTTTTCAGAAACAACCTGGGCACAAATGATCGCTCAAAAACGTGGCTTGTCATGTGAAAATGTATTGCAGCCAAATCCACTAAATGCACGCTTTTCAATGCGGAAGGAAAAATCGGAGGGCCCGGATAAAAATCCATGCGACCACGGGGAGAGCGTGCAAACTCCATTAGCTTTGGGGTCGAACCCATGATCCCCTGTATACAAGGCGAGGTGGTTAACATCTCGCCACCGTGGCGCCAAAAAATGATGCTATCCACCTTAATTTGTGTGCTATGAAGAATGGCCATTGCCCAAAACTTCGCCGATTAAATGTGTTTATTTTAAGGCAGTGCTGCAGACGAATGTGTTGATATTTGTTGTTGTTAATTGTCCCTGTGCACCATTGCCAACAACAGCAGCAGCATCCCAGGTTCCCATGAGCGTCTGCGCAGCTGTGCTATGTCATGGCAGCAGAGGGCACTGCATCTCAATCCACTATTATACAGCACTGTGCTTCTGTCCTCGCACATCTGTTGCTCCTCACCGTCACCAACCCGCGCTGGGCAACATGATTAGGTATGTATGGCTCAATAACGCCCACACGACCCGGAACGTCGTGGGCGTACCCCGATCCAACAGTGTGTTTACAAATTGACGTGTCCATGTTCACGGGGAAAGTGCATACGTGGACTGCAACTTGGAGACAGAAAGAGCCCGAAACATATGGACCACGGAACACAGGCAAGTTGGGACATCGTATCGACTGTTACGAAAAAAGTGCGTGGGCTTGAGCAGGACACACACACTGGCTAGAAGGGTTAAGACAATGAAAGATGGGAAGAATCCATTCATCCTGCAGCGGATAGATCCTGGCTACTGTTGATGAGGATGACTGAACACATACTCTGCACTCTACACGGTGGTCCAGATGTCTTATGACCCCCCTCCTCCCCCCCCCCCATTTTATTATGTGTGTAATGTAACGTAAACGATATAAAATAAAATAAAAAGTTAGGGGGTCACAATTAATTGGGATTCACAAAGACATCTGCACCACCCCACCCTGCACATTGCATTGACTCAATTAACAGCGGAGCCCAACAGGTGAGTGCAGGGAACTCGCTCGCTCGCTCGCTGCACGTGCACGCACTCGCACGCTCCAGGCAAGGCGCTAATCACTGACGCGTCTCATAATGAAGAACTCGAGACGACCTTTCCCATTTACAGCCACCCTTGTCAATCCACTCGCGCCCTGTCCATACTTCACCGTATTGGTCACGCGGTGGGGGGGCGGGGGGGCAGTACCGGTTCCCATCAACGTAGCGTTGATGCAAATCCATAACGCGGTGCGCTAATTACAGCGCCACCGCTCCACCAGCATGCCTGTACTCACCAGTACTCCAATCTTGTAGGGTCGAACCTTGTCCTTGGTCGGCCTCACCGATTGGTAATCGACTTCCTCCAATGGCAGCATCGAACCCGAATCACAGCTTCACAACAACAACAGCAGCAGCAACAACAACAGCAGCAGCAGCAGTAGCCCCAACGACAAAACAATACTCAGCAAACACGCATCTCAAATCGGTCAGCTGTGCGGCTTCTCTCTGTCCGTCTCTCCCTGATGTGTCTCCCCTCCCTCTGTGTCTCTCCTCACGGAGGTTGTGCGGCATGAACCCTGCCCGCAACTCCCTCCCCCACACACGCCCCGCCTCCGAAACCTTTGTGCTTCCGACAAAGACAAAGTTCCCCCGTATAGCCTCAACAGACTTTTTTGGGGGGCAAGTGCTGTAAGGGAGCACATCTGAAGGATGGCACGACACGCGAGGGAGTGGCTGGCCAGCACCACGCCCGGCCGCCTTTGTCTCCCCAGTGGCGATGTTTACACACCGTGCCAAGTACTCATTTGAGACCCTGGACTGATACAGCTAATAATCCACACACACCCACACGATCAATACTGACACGCACATACACCTGGTCTACTACACACATGTATGCACATGCGAGCTTGCAGGAACAGAGAAATGCCACGTGTAGTCAAATACGTAGAACGCTGGGAAATGTGCTCTTAGCAAACACCTATTTATTCAGTATTCAGCATCCAGATCGGCCGCCTTTGTCGCTCCAGTGCCGATGTTTTCACAGCGCACCCAGGTACTCGTTTAAGGCTGAGTATTGCGTGAATTTGGAATTCCCACCATGACCGGTTCAGAGACTGCTCGGACTGATGGGTGATCGCCGTGGTCTAGAATCAAAACTCAGGGCAGGTTCGCGGCGCCCTATAGCCATCGACGAACTAAACAAAACTTGATTTGAAACTTTCGTAAGTGCAGGAATCCATACTCGCTGGTTCTTTCGGTAAAGTCACGTAGATAGAAAACATAATAAAAGAACACGACGTTTAGGTCGCAACACAAGCACCCATCATCAGGTGAGAAAGAATGATCTGCTGTTGTGGCAGGTCATTAGACACGGTTGTAGGGGGGGGGGGGGGTTTGTAGAGTCGTGGCTGCAGGAGTTCACGGGGGAGAGGGGGGAGGGCTTGTGGCGTGCAGGGACGGGGGGGGGGGGGCTGGAGAAATTAGCATGTCAATGAGCTTGAATTAGTAAACGAATACAGCACTGGTGGCTGAGTTAAAATCACAGCAGTTAAAACTTGACGTGGTTTATCACGTCCTTCCAATGATTAGGCTTTCGTGGCTGCAGGAGTTCACGACGGGTGGGGGCTGGCGAATTTCTTTCTCACCTGATGACGGACGCTTGTGTTGCGACCGAAACGTCGTGTTATTTTATTATATATATTTTCTATCTACGTGACTTTACCGAAAGAACCAGAGAGCATAAACGAAACTCTTTTTTACGTTATTTTACCAGGTCAGGCCCACTGAGCTCTATAGCTCTTTTTCAGAAGCCACAAATGATAACCCAACGAAGTGGCTTACCATTGTGGGCATTCATAGCAGCCGAATACTCTAAACGCGCTTTGATTCTAAAGTGCATACCAGGCGAGGTAGTTAAAATCTCGCCACCACGGCGCCCACGAACACACAAGTACGCACGTTGAATACAAAGATCCCACAACGTTTTCCAAACACAGGCTGTTGGGGAGAAGTTGATGTTAGCACCAGTGGAGACTGGCACGGTGCACGAGGCAGTTGGTTGCGGTGGAGTGTGTGGTTCGTGCGCTGCGCTACGATCCCGCTCATAGCCCACACCAGCGACGATAATTATCTAAACCAGTCCAGAGCCTCCGCGAGGTCGACCGAGCCTCAAATTTGGTACCTGCTGGGGTGTTTCAAACATCGTCACTTCTTCTTTCGCATTGCCGATGTTGATGCAGAGTAGCAACTACAACTGCACATTGAGGTGGTCAAGACAGGTAACCGCGTCAGGAGTCACGGAGTGTATCGCTGTGATGTTTATGCGTTGACTTCGTTTGCACCGTACGTAGCCAACCGTAACGTGTACTTCGTATTTGTGGATGGGGCATTGCGTCGTTTATCTGTTGTATGGTCTGTTCTGGATGAGCACAATCACACATCGGAGAGTTCTACATTTTCCATTTTTGCATCAGGTATCCGCATCTGCCGTGGTTTGTGCGGATGCGGTTTTACGATGCACCATGAGCCACCCACCCCCTACGTGTGCCGTGCTGGCTTTCGTAGATGCTCGCTAAAAAAGCACTTGCCCCTACAGTCCATCGTCGGAGTGGGCTGCACAATCTCATATACTCAGACACACAGACTCAGCGCGCTGGACTCCCGCAGTTATTGCAGTGCACCCCACGTGTTGCAACATGCAAACAACACCGCTTCCTGCTGCTGCTGCTGCACACTCACCTCGGTTCACGTATCGCGAAATCTCCTTCTTTCGGGGAAACTCCACCTAACTCCTTGCGGGCTTAAGGCATATATCGGGTTTCACGCCACCAAAAAAACCCCCGACGTTTATCTTTCTTGATTTGAAGCGTTCGTAGCGGCAGGAATCCATACTCTTTGGTTCTTTCGGTAAAGTCACGTGGGTATAATATTAAATAAAGAACCAAAGATTACGACGTTTATCTTAAATTTTGATTTAAAGCTTTCGTGACTGCAGTAATTCATATTCTTAGTTTTTTCGGTAAAGTCACGTTGAAGAGAAACAACAAAATAACAAAATATATATAAAACAATAAAACATTCTCACGACGTTTCGACCATAACTCAAACGGTCATCATCAGGTGTGTCGGTTTGCATAAATTTATTTTGAAAACGGCATATTTATTTATATATATAAAAATAACGTTTGCGTCACGCGCAACGATTGGCTGTTTGCCAGGACTAGTCCATCTATTTTTTGAAAAGAGGAGGGGGGAGACGAAATTTGTTTTTATGTATGCTGTCTGAAAGCCACTGTAAGCGTGAACAATCAATCAAGAACTGAAATGATTTATCAAATCTTTCCAATGATTGCTAAGATAGAATCCATCTTCTCAGTTGAAATTGTCTCTGTGTTTGTATATGTGGATAGCCTCATGAACGAATCTCTCATGTGAGAAGATGGATTCTATCTTAGCAATCATTGGAAAGATTTGATAAATCATTTCAGTTCTTGATTGATTGTTCACGCTTACAGTGGCTTTCAGACAGCATACATAAAAACAAATTTCGTCTCCCCCCTCCTCTTTTCAAAAAATAGATGGACTAGTCCTGGCAAACAGCCAATCGTTGCGCGTGACGCAAACGTTATTTTTATATATATAAATAAATATGCCGTTTTCAAAATAAATTTATGCAAACCGACACACCTGATGATGACCGTTTGAGTTATGGTCGAAACGTCTTGAGAATTTTTTATTGTTTTATATATATTTTGTTATTTTGTTGTTTCTCTTCAACGTGACTTTACCGAAAAAACTAAGAATATGACGTTTATCTTGTTTAACAACATGCGGGTGGTGGTTTGGCAGCTTTAAAATCAGGGTTTATGTGATTTCTATTACATGCGGGTGGTGGTTTGGCAGCTTTAAAAGCAGGGTTTCTATGATTTCTAGCCTCTCCTCACTCCCTTCACCTTTAGAGCGACTCCTCACCGTTCGGCATGTAATCTCAAGTCGTTACACGCTGCATGCGCCCGATGATTGCTAAACTACCTGCACATGATGTGTAGAGCGCCGATTAAAATGAAGAGCGCGCCCTACGCCACGCGTGACACACGCGATCTCACACACACACGCGCGCAATCTCACCGTGTCCATTGCCAACTAGCGCAAACTACGCCAGGCGGGGCGTGTTGAGCAATCATCGGGCGCGTACGGCGTGAATAACGCCATTTACATTCGAAAGGAAAATTTTCGAACTGCTCTGCAATCTAGATTTGAAGTTCAGATTTGAAGTTTTTTTGCGACTGCAGGGATCCATACTCTGCAATGTTATAAAACTCCACACATTCGTCAATATCACTTCCTTAAAATAAAACAATGTGTGATAGTCGACGTTTTGGGAAATGACTGTTCTTCAATTAGATGACGTTTTGGGCAATATTGCTCCCCCAGAACGTTGCCTGTTAAAACGCTTTAATTTTGAGGCGGTGTTATTGACGAATGTGATCAAAACAAGAAAATGCGTGCTTGGATGCATCTACCGACACAGCATAACCAAAGACATGTCTGCAATAGTATCATGATAATCAGGGGCGGAGCCAGGATTTTGACTTGGGGGGGGGGGGGGCGACTTCAATATTCTGAGATATCTCAGTGTGTTTATGTTTTCCAATGGGCGCCAAAAATGTATAAAACAATTTTATTGGATTTGAGCGCGGAGTTTATTAATAGGTCGGAGCCACTGATGTGGCTAATAAGTTCGATAAGTTCGTAAGGCTGCCGCTCAAGCAGCCTGCAGGGCAGCACAAGGTGGCAGGCTGCAGGGCAGCACAAGGTGGCAGCCTGCAGGGCAGCACAAGGTGGCAGCCTGCAGGGCAGCACAAAGTGGCAGGCTGCAGGGCAGCACAAAGTGGCAGGCTGCAGGGCAGCACAAAGTGGCAGGCTGCAGGGCAGCACAAAGTGCCAGCCAGCATTTCACAGCAGCCGGATATACGGTTATCCCAATTACCGACTTCCCCAAACTTTCAGGGGGGGCTGAGCCCCCCCCAGCCCCCCCCTGTGGCTCCGCCCCTGATGCTAATATTACGCATAACTCTCAGTCTCACAACAATGATGGGACGTTCAAATACGGAAATGCAGCCAAGGCAAATTGATAAATTATTACACTTGATTATGTGCACACTCTTCAAGTCGGTGAAATTTTGATTTAAAGCTTTCGTGACTGCAGGGATTCATATTCTTGGTTCTTTCAGTAAAGTCACGTAGAAGGGAAACAATAAAAAATATAAAACAATAAAATTATCACGACGTTTCGACTGCAACACAAGCAATCATCATCAGGTGTGAAAACCACAGCAATAAAATTTGAAAAAAGTGGCGGTTTTTTAACGTTAGCACCACGGAGAGCGATTTGGCAGTTATTCAGATGGACGAGTCCATCTATATCATTAGACTTCCTTTGCCAGTACCAAAATGTAATAATAGGGTTTTCCCCTTTTTTCTGGCAACAAAACTGAAACCTTTTTACAAGGATTCATGTCTGCATTAACCACAATACCTGCAGTCAAAATGCAAACTAAAAAACATACTATGATAATATAT